GCGTCACTCTAGGTTTGTGACATTTAATAGTACTATAGTACTATAAACTTCTTCTACGTAACAACCTCTGATCCTCCTCTACCTCCTCTACACTCTGACAAGCATGAGGAGCCGACCTCTGAGGAATGATGAATAAATCATCATCCCCATTAGGAAGGATGGGTTTGAGGAGGTCAGGATCCCCAACACGGGACTCTCTCTCATAACTCCGAAGGGCCTCAGCCAAGGCATCTAATGAGCCAGCGTCAGTGCCAAGAATATCACGCCTAATCCGAAGGATTAGGGCAATCTCCCGAGCAAAGAGGCAGCGACGCCCAGCCCGAAGCCACTCATCCTCAGCCTCACGGTAAGTGAGACCCAAAACTGCCTGTCTCTCACCACTAGCTCCAACCATCTCTACCTCCTTCTCCCCCCAATCCCCCTCATCCCCCTCATCTCCCTCATTTCCCCCATCTTTTGCTTCTAAACTCGCTGGGCCCCATGCTGGTGAGGCAGCACCAACAGGGTGGGGCGCAGAGACAACAAGGCAGGGCACAGAGACGACGAGGCGGGCCGCAGAAACGATGAGGCGGGGCGCAGAGACGACAAGACGGGGTGCAGCAGGAGGAGGACGACCAGCAGCGACACCAGAACCAGCAGCGCCAAGGAAAGAGCACGACCCTGTACCCGTAAAGTGGGCACAGTTGGTGCAGCGGCCATCAGGGTGGGCAGTAGTGTTTATAGCGCAGCAAGCAAACTCATGCTTTACTGTGCCTTTCATGCAGTGGGAGCAAGCAGCAAGGGCGACAACAGTGCGAGAATGAGCCATTTCAGCTAAAGCTTGACTCTTTCTAGAGCCTTTGAATTGTTGAAAGTCGCCTAGAGAAATATCAGGAGGGCCTTCTAGTATGCGTGGTTGTGCCATTACAGCAGGAAACTTTGATGGCGGTGCCATATTTGCCTATTTTCAAGTTAGTATATAACATAAAATAGTAATTAATAGTATTATAGATAGTACTATTGTCGTACTTACTGATCTTGCATATAGTAACGATGTAGAAGAAAGAAGAAAGAAGAAAGGAAGGGCAAAATAGTGAGGTTATAGCTTAACATCATAACAGGCGTTGATAGTACTACAATAAGTAGTACTATCAAAAAAATAGTACTATAATAAGTAGTACTATCAAAGCAATAGGGGTAACTTAAACACGTGATATTCTACACTATTGTTGTCACGTGATGTCCATATTGTTTATATTGTTTATATTATACTGTATTGCCAAGCTTTATTAGCGCCATATTGTGGCAATACAATATTGTAACGCTGACTTCTAAACGATAGAAGACACAGAGGTTCTCTTGCGTAAAGGTTTACTTATCAGAGGAGGCAGGGGATCAGACACAAAGGCTTCAAGTAACACGTTACTAGTATATAACAAATACTGTATTGAGTTGAGCACGAAGCTCCTATCTAAGGAAATACTATCTACTTATATAGTGGCGTCGTGCCTAGTGGACTCTTGGGAACTCACTCGAGTCCTCGGAGTCCTGAACTCTTAGGACTCTTCTCATCATCCTGCGAGTCCATCACGTGCCTAGTGGACTCCTGGGAACTCACTCGAGTCCTCGGAGTCCTGGACTCTTAGGACTCTTCTCATCATCCTGCGAGTCCGTCACGTGATACTTTCGGAACTACTATTCCCCGCTGCCCCTCCAGGTACCAGGGCCGGTCTCATGCGACCTCCCTCCTTCCTGTCCTGTAGTTGGCCAGCCTTCTTGTTCCGTCGTAACAAATATGGGAATTTCCTAGCAATATACTGCCAAGCCGCACTATTGGCAACACTGATAACAACATGGCTTAGGAAACTAAGGAGAAAGAAGATGAGGTTACTTAAGAAGTAATGTAGAGGGAAGATGAGAAGGCTAATGGAATTAGGAAGGTAGGCCTTAAGAATGCCTAGTTGAAGGTTAAGAGATAGGCTAATGCTATAACTAGGGTATGATTAGAAATGCTATAAGTCTAATACTAATATAGATATAGAAATTTAAGAGTCTTAGATTCTCTATTTAGCACCATAAGTAGAATTCGCTAAGGGAACTCTTAAATTATAATGTGTATTAGCCTAGACGCTAGCTTAGAAATTAACCTACAAATTACACCACTAGTTTAGAGCTCCCTAATTAATGAGTAGTTTGACATTGACGCCTATGAGCCTAAGATAGAGCCTTGGCTTAACCTAGAATTAAGCCTAGGGCTAAATCCTAGAGCAAACCTAAGAGCAAACCTAAGAGCAAACCTAAGAGCAAAACTAAGAGCAAGCAAACCCTAGAGCAAACCCTAGAGCAAACCCTAGAGTGAGCCCTAGAGCAAGCTTGAGCATAGGAGCTAGAGCTAGGCTTAGCCTAGCCTAGAATTAAGCCTAGAATTAAGGTTAGGGTTATATAATCTACCTAGAAAGCAAGGGTATGAATGGTGCAGAAGTATTCTAAGAAGCATGATATCTAGCACTTTGATATTAGGGCAATAGCCTCCTTAAAGGTTCTAAGAGAAGATAGGACATCAACTAATAATAAGCAGCTCTTTATGTGTATATTAGATGAGCCTTACTCTTATAGGTATAAGGTTGTAACTTTATCTAGTATTATTAAACACCTTATTCCTACTAAAGAGCTAGGGGCTATAGAGCAAGCTCTATGGTTAGATATTATTATTCCTAATTCTACAAAGGAAGTCACACTTATGCTAGCTGCAAGAGAGGCTTCTACAAGTGCATAGGTAGGAGTATCATGTCAATGTAAAGGGGCTTGTAATACAAAGCGATGTAGGTGCTATAAAGAGGATAGGCAGTGTAGCGTACACTGCCATAAGGATGACCATGATTGCGGAAACCTATTGTAATGATGTACGGTTACGCTCGCGCTACATCCCACTGAGCCAAAAAGACTACAGTATTCCGGCTCGCCCGGAATACGCGTAACATGCTTTATATACCACATGTACTGTAACGGCGGCACCCGTTACACCTATCAGGTCTAACTATTCGAACAAAATTAGCTCTGGTTGATAGGCCTAGGAGGAAGCGGGCCAGAGCTGATACAGTAGGAAACATAGTTTAGATCAATATACTATTTCTACTCTTACTTGCTACTCTTACTCCTACTATTCGCGACTAACCCATTCGCGAACAGGCATATTCGTGGTTGGGTCAACCCATTCGGAACATATCTAACAATCTCAGAACTGAATACCACCTCAACAACGACAATGCGTATGGTGTTCTCGTACTTTGGATACTGCAGCGTGTGCATTGATCCGACAAACCGAGGGCTGATGGTTGGATGTGGGGTCTTCACTCAATGGGTCTAGAGTCTCCAAGCATCCCCAGAATGAAGTATTCACCCCACCAGCAACTTAGCCGGCCTTCTCGAACCCTGTTCCATTATCCAGCTAACGACTCATCCCAGTGACCTAATACTGAAGCGGACTCTTCCCCCAACATGATTTTCGCCCCAATATTCACTTCCATCGCTCTTTCCCTTCAGGCAGAAAGCTGCAACTGCAACCCCAGACGAGGATTACCGCCTGGAGGAAAGGAACGATCCACCTGTCACGCCACATGCACGCAGGATGGGGTGGCAAAAGAGCTGAGTGAGAGAGCGAGCTAGAGCTGAGAGCTACGCGCGGATGATCTGTGGCATGTACAGTGCAAGCATGGCAGCTGATATATTGAGTCGCCAAGTCGGCTTACAGTTGCTTCTGGGAATACCCGGTAGTGCTCTACTAGATGATAATCTGGGGCGTGTTCCAGAAATATAATTGTCTTGGCCGAAGCCTGTCTGCGTAGCACATACCTGGGTATATGCGTACATGGCGCCTGCATCTCGTAGTTGATTGTGGTCTGCTATCTCCGATTCTTCCCCCTATTCGTTGAGGTTGCTACTGATCCTCCAGTTCATTTCCTATTCGTTCAGCCATCCATCCTGTTCCCTGAAGTCTCCCGGAGTCGGCTCGTTTCTTGCAATACTGATTTCACTCCTACGGTATTCGTTCTGACTACTATGGATTCTGTTCCCTGAAGCTTTGGTTCCGGGGGAGTGGCTCACTCCATATAGGATTGGTTTTATTCCTACAGCATTTGTTCAGACTTCTAAGCTTTGGGCTCGGAGAAGCGGCTTGATTCTTACAGCATTGGTTTTTTTCCAAGTAGTTCAAACTGCTACAGATCCTGTTCTCTAAAGGTTGGAGGAGTTGCTCGTTTCTTACAGTATTGGTTCTATTCCCATTCGTTCTGACCACTACAGATCCTGTTTATCTGGGTTCTGGGGGCTGAAAATCGATTTTGCGCCCCTCGGCTACACAACGCAGATTTCATGGATGTTGATAAGCTGATCAGGTTAGAGTGAGATGACGAGCTCATCCATAACTTCTCTGCAGGCGGTCGCTATTTGCAGGCCAGTGAGAGGCGGCGAGCCCATGCATGGATTTTCTAAGGAGTCATGGTGAGCTTATCAATGGCTTTGATCAGGTTACTTACTCTTCTGCTTATAATTGTTTGGATTTTTTTTTTGGGGGGGGGGACAAGCCCCATGACCAACGTACATTCTTTTGAAGGAATGGAAAACATGGAAGACACGTGCGGACTCACACGGCATGGATTATAACTTGCATGATGCGAGTCGGCCTTGTTGAATTTGGTACCATGCCCATGATGCTCCCTGGCAGTATCGCTGTTCGACATGATTCCCAACAATGCGATACTGACTCGCAGCTGCCAACAAATGGATCATTCAATCTGCAGCCCGATGAAGTGGGTGTGGACGATGGGCGGCTGTCCAACGTGTGTTTTGGATGATTTGGCATGATTTGCTATAGGAAATGAGGGGAAGATAGTAGAGAGACTTCGAGATATTACGCGCTTGCGTCGTGGTTTTCTGCTATTCGCCAAGAATCCTTCTGATGGCGCTCGTTGTCAGCCACAAGCTCGGCGTCTAGATGATGGCGTGCAGCCGCGCGCTGAGAAATGGCCATCGAAATGGCCAGCCTAGTTGGCGTTTCTATTGGAAACTCTGCTGAAGGTTCGTGAGCCAGTCAGACGACAGTCTTGAATCTTCACCAACACACGCTTCTGAGTTGAACAGAGGCTGGCGGCAACTGGTGTTGGAGCACGGGCCATAGAAGACCGGATACCGCGCGCTCTGTGAAGCTCTGCTTCGTCTTCTGGCGCCAATCTGCTATTAACGGCGAGGAGGTCGTCGACACTGGATCTCGTTGATTCGCGCCCGTCACAGACCAAAATATAACTCTGTTTATCTGCATGGCCTACTTTGACGGCCGCCCTCAGTTGGCACTTTGACACTACATAAGCAAGGGAAATGCCCAGTATTGTGACATCTAAGCAAGAACCTCATTAGACACTCTGTTCTGGCATAACTTGTACACTCGGGATCAGCGTCTATTTGCTGGATCTGTTGGTTGTCTCGCCTCACTCAAGCCACCCGTCTTCCCCGTCCTCCCAACGAAAGTTGCCCTTTTCCATCCGCCACGCCTCTACCACATTGAAGCCACGACGCCCTCGAGTTACTCTGGATAGTACCGCCGGCCAACCTGTCCAACTCCCCAATTCCAACTGCAGCGCAGCCAACAAGTGACGCTCCTCTCCAACCACAAAATATCGCGCAGCAGCAAGGCCGTACTTCGATACATAGCTGGATTATTGGCCCAAATAGTGCAGAGACCCCGTCCAGACCACCTTCTGTCTCATTGGCCCAAAGACCAAAGAGTTGTTAGCCGCCGGGGGACTGAGTGCCAAGTATAGTACTGGCGCACATACGCATTCTCGACCTGTCCAATCACAAGCAAAACGCGGAAGTCACAGGCCAATCACGCGCGGGTATCTGCAGGCGACGCTCAAGCTCGACACTACAGTTCCACATTCACACTTTGACGATCTCTTCTCCTCATCCACCGTCTCCCCGATTATCGTCGCCTTCACATTCATCTTTGCCGTCTTCGTCTTCGTCTTCGTCTTCGTCTTCGTCTTCATCGCCATATCCAACGACCTCTCTTGCGCGCTCTCTTCAACGCGTCAACAGTACGAATCAACAACAGATCCCAGATCTATATCGAGCTCAATCATAGATCCTTCGCCCTCGACCTAAAACGCGGCCAAGAACCAACGGGCGCTCTATTGCACCCACACGACTGGGCGACCCACTACCCACAAACAGAAACCCGCAATCCCACCCTGGCGCCATTCGCGACCTACTGATTGGCGTGTCGCTTACTTCCCAGCAGAGGCAAAGTACCGTTTCTTGTCAACTATCGCCTTTCATTGGCTCTTGTCTCGCATACCCTTCCCCATTGCCGCCCTCATCACTTGCCAGCGCTTGACCAGGGGGACCAACTGAACGAACAAAGTTGCCACCTGCGTCCAACTGCGACCAGTCCTGCAAACCTACGATCCCTCTATCATTCACTGCTCACTCGCCCTGACTTGCCCGCGTTACTGCTCCTTGCGCCCCTCGTTGTTGCTATATCTGGCCGCTACTTCATACTCCAAACACTGCTGCGCCAGCTTGTTGACCTGGTCCACCCTTGTCACAGGGAAACATTCATCTCACCCAGGCCCACCCGCCCCCTCTGTTTCCCTATAACTATCCAGCCGTCACGATCACTTCATCTTTACGGACCACTGCTACGGTTTCGCTCCAAGGTGCCTTGCGTCTCGCATCTTGCCTCATCTCCCATCCCGAGTCATTCACGACGCCCAAGGACACTCGCTTCAACAGTCGAATACTCAAAATGGTCGCCTCAACGACCACCCGCCCGACGCTGCCAAAGCTGAAGACGCCTCAGACAGCGTCGTTTCCTTCTCCATTCCCCTCTGAACTCAGCGCGCGGTCTGCTCGCACGCCTCTCTCCGCCTTTCCCGACTACATCAAGATCGAGTGCAATTCCAAGACCCCTATCACCCCGCCATCCGCCTACCTCGACTTCCTCAAGAGCATGGCTTCACCCGTCGTAGCTGACAAGCCCAAGTCTGGCTCAACAACTCCCTCCTCCGCCGCCCACTCCGACGGCGGCTCTACCACCTCAGTCTCACCCATCACCGACGATGACCACACCCTCTCACACAAATCCCCCGCGCCCTCGCCCTTTGTCTACCCCACTTCCGCCCCCTCCACCTCTCGCATCCGCCTCCGCATACCACCCTCCCCCGCCTTCTCTCTAAAGGACGCCCGCTCCCCGCTCAGCGCAAACCCATACAGCGCACACCCTATGAGCGCCACCAGCATCCGCTCCCCCTTCAGCGCCCGCAGTCCTCACGACTGGGATATCGCGCTCAAGGGACGCTGGTTCGATGTCAGGAGCCCGAAGACGAGCCGTGGCGGCGTAAAACAAATACGTGAGATTGTCACGCGCACCGTCACATATACGCCGAGAATGAGCGCGGCGCCGAAGGGGAAGAGGAGGAAGATCGAGTAGAGAGTTACAGACGACTATGACTATGGGGAACCTCACTGGATCGCTAGATCGATACCGGGCAGGGAAGTTGCATCAACTGCCCAATTACCACGGATTTGGGCCGTGGATACGGAAATCAACACATTAATTTAAGATGCGCTGGACACATCGCACACTATCTACTACCTTATTTATCCATCACATCGAACTATATACCTCTCGGACACGGAAGGAAAACGGATTGTTTTTCACTCTAACGAGCCACGCACGCAACGCATGCGCTCGAGGAACGCTCGGCTTCAGGCCTGGAGCACTCTGAGCAGCTGGGGGCGGGGTTGGGGTGGGAGGGGGGTATTTTGTCTCCCGTCTGCCTATGCTACGTATGCTGGGACGGGATGGCGGGAGCTGGCGTTTTATGGGAGTGTGCTTTTGGAGTTCGTTTTGGGGGGGAATATACGGGGGTCAACGGGAGGCATACATGCTATGTCATTGCGTGGAGTAGGGGGGTTCGATGCCCGTACATCGCCAGAAATGAAGATTCGTATATCAAGCAACTACCTGTCGTCCACATCGTGTTTTGTCTCTTCCCTCCTCTAACAACCAAACAAACAAGTAAATAGAACCCAATATGCGACCATTCCTCCCTAAACAGCCGGTCGCCATGGCCTCGACCAACCAACCCACGACCATACCTGCAGCCAGCAACGTGCCCAAGCTCCCGCTGCGACCGCCACCACATCGCCATCTCGTTTGCCCTCAGCGCGCAGCATCGTGCATACACACAACACAACCACCCATCTACTTACTCGTCCTTACACATCGCGGATACAGCTCATGGGCCGAGCCCCATAGTTGGTTACCAGAGGCGGTTGCCCCCTGGGTTATAACAATTGCCATAGTGTCGACCGCTGTGGACCACGCCTGTGGCTTTACGGTCTTTATCACAGGCGACAGTAACGGCAGGGTTGTTCCATCCCATATCACAGTAACCACTCTTGTGGCTGCTGGCAAGGGTTCCACAGTCGGTAGCAAAGATTGTAGGCTGGATCCAGAGAACTCCCGCCCCTTGAGGGGTTTGATCATTGACCATATAGGTGTAGCCAACACCGACTTCGTTGGCCTTGCATACTTGGTAAGCCGTGCTGAATGTTGGTAAGGCGAAGAGAAGCTAGAGCATAGCCAGCGGGGTGGTAGTTGTGAACCGCATGATGATAACAGTGTGGTTCGTTTTGGTTGTAAGATGAGGCTCTGGAGAGGCGTGCTATAACAAAAGGATATAAAACGCAGCATTTACTATCTTATATAGACATACTTGATGCTCCTGAAGGGATATTTGCTGAAGAATTATCCAAACACTTAGCCGGTTAAAATTACTTTTCTCCAATAACTAACAAAGCCAAGGCCCCCATGAGCGAATGCAGTATTTAATATCTTAATTAGGCATACTTGACGCCCTCGAGAGAATATTTACTGGAGGAATATCTCAACACTTAGGCGGTTGGTATTACTTCTTTCCACTCTCCAACAAAGCCAAGGCCCTGATGAGCAACCATCTGTGCATACCAATAGTTACTAACAAACAAAACGCAAGAAAAAAACCCTCGTCCCTACAGCCCAGCTGTGCACCCATCACCCTCCCTCTAGTCCACCCAGCTCACCCCGCCAAAACCCCCTAAAAGCAGCACCACCACCCCCCAGTCCCACGCCGGTACGTACCCGCACCCCCCTCCCGGCGGCTACAGGATCACCCACGGCGCTAGAATCCCGTGTGCGCGTTCTGATTGGTTTCTTTTAATAAGCTAATGGTGTGGGGGGAGCAGACCGGGGACAGGGATGGTGAGGGGTGGGTATTTTTAGCTTGGGATGCGGGCGTGAGTTTTAGGAGTCGCTGTGAAACGCGGTTAGAGTTTCATGGAGGGTTATTTTTGGTGTTTCAATCGCTCCTGTTGTTTCGAGGTGTATCGGGATCCTGTAACTGCGGTGCAGGATTGCCAGAAGCAGAGTAGAGGAGCGAGGAAGGCTCGGCCGTCACGTTGTTGGACCTGGGATGGAAGTCCCAGCCCAGACAATACACGGGACACGTGATTGTTAGCTTTCAGGATGGCGTTCGTGTGGTGGTTATCACAATTGGAGTAGCATCATCACTATCACATATGCTCGCTGCCGAGTTCATCACAGCACACCGATAGTTCCTGTTTGTCCCAAGCTACTCTACGCCCACCTCATGCCTAGGGGTAGAGATATATGGGGACACGTGATTGTTAAGGAGGTGTTTCGTGGCGTTACTATTACATAACTACTAATCATGGGTGGAAGCAAAGTGCGTTCGTGAGATGATGTGGAAGCAAAATGCGTTCGCGACTACTAAATATTATAGGTACCTTTACATAGTAAATTGTACGCAACGTAACTTAAGGTAATAAAAAGATAGAAGTGTAGTTGAATTTTTAGAATAAAAATATATAAACTACCTTAAATGCTCTAACACAATGTGAAAGAAGGTTCGTTTTCTATCACCAATTCCTTTGGCATCTCAAGTCAAGGGACGGCAGCGATCTCATCCGACTCCCCGCAAGAGAGTGAAGAGGTTCCAATCCATGTATTCCCTAATCCATAGGTCCCTCCAGAAGCCACTCTTGGCCCACGGATACGCCGCCGCGATGAGGAACGCTCTTTGGGTATCAGATGAGCTAGGTCAATGGCCAGACAACGTCCCTGGAGAATGCGTTAGAGGACGTGTGTCCTTGTATGGATACATCCAGGGCACAGAGATGACCAGATATTCACCGTACAAAAAAATGCTACACTCTCGAGATGGCGAGCTCTTATCTTCCAGACTAACCACGAGTACTTCGACGGGATAGAGGACGTAGCCCTGCGCACGCTCGATCCAGGGCTGATGACGCAGGCTTCAAAATGATCGTCTGGATCATCCACAACCTGATTCACTTACACCCCCGCTGCACATTCGCGAAATACATGCTAGTCGCCAGCGGCGCCAACACATACACATTCGACGTCTTCGACGCCGTCTCCGAAACCCCAAAACCCGCGCTGACCTCCTGAAGCTGAAGGCCAACTGTCGCCAGACCGTATGGGACCACGGGTATCTCGAGCTGCACGTCGGAAGACGTCTCAACGAGGTGGCAAGATGCTTTAGCCCCCACACCATTTGTCCTATACATCCCTGTTAGACACGATGCCCCGAAAGGCAGCTTCGCACCGTAGATGCTGGGGACTATGGAATATGATTAAAGGAGTTCGAGGTAGAAGGAGCCTCGCATCTTGTTGAGAGATGGCAGAGCAAGCGTTCTCGAGGGACCATAGTTACCTCTGATATCAGCTGAAAACACCGCTTCATCTCAGTTGTTACCACTCACATGGGTGAGGATGACAAGGCCAAGGGGGTTCTGTCTCTCATCGCCCCCGTAGGTTTCTACGAACCACACTCCTGAAATATCATTGGAAGCTTGAGCCTTGCGGAGGGGCACTGCCCCGAAGACTGACACGGATCGACGCGGATGATGTGATTGGAAATCCAAGTCATCCTGCATGAAGGAGCTCTATAAGAAGGTGGCCCTCCCACTTCTGAAGAGCAAGAATTCCTTCATCTTCATTCTTCGTCCTTCATCGTCATCCTTCGTTCAAGTCCATCACAAGATCAACATGGTCTCGTCAACTCCGACATCAGAGGATAGCGAAAGCCAACTCATGTCAGATGTGGGGTGCCCTAACTGGCATACTGAGGATTGCTCTACTCCGGGCAGCCCCGATTCAGATTTCGACGAGTTATTTTCGCAATTCACGCGCATAGATCAAGATGGGGCCGCATCATGGGGCAGTTACTGGCATGCAGTGGGCTGGCTCGGTTTGGACGATCTCTCAAAACCTGCACCTAGTGAAGTGGAGATGAAAGATGTTCCGCCGGCTGTCATCGAGCCACGTCAAGAACCAGCTGAAGCGATTCCTCCAGATCTCGACCCTGAGGCAGATCCCCAAGAACCAGCGGAAGCGACCTCTCAAGGCAGCACCAATTCCGACTTTGAATCACGTCAACGATCAGCTAAAGCGATTGCTCCAGACCTTGTCACTGAGGCACACCCCCAAGAGCCGGCTGACGCGACAACTGCAGAGCTCACCCCTGAGTCAGCTCCCAAAGAACTAGCTGAAGCGACTTCTCCAGAGCTCGTACATGGGGCAGATCCCATTGTCGGTGAGAAACTGCATAACAAAGAGGTATGATTGACATGCTTCATCGTTATTTCAAGTTTTGTAAGCTGACGGCGCCAGAATCTTAGATAAAGCTGAATACACACTTTTAAAATTACTGCGAACGCACTTTGCTTCCACCTATGATTAAGCAAACAGAGTTGTAGAAGGGGGTGCATATTCATATTAAATATTAATTTACACTAAAGGGTATATTGATTCGACAGATGTTTGGAAATTGCCTACCTATGTCGGTTACATTCATGCTTGCTTCCGGTCACTCTCCTACACCCCCGTTTGTCCTGCGGCGGCAGGACAGTACAACAACCACGCCCACCTCATCAACATCACCCTCCCCATCAACGTCGCCTACTACATCAAGCAACCCAGCTAGCGAGTCTAATAGGGACAAGGCACTTAAGATCCTCAAAGGCCTCCGGGGCCGGTAACCAGCAGCAGATGCACGCCTCGAGGTCATCGATGCATTCCTACTCGAGATCAAGAGGGCCGCCGACATAGCCAATGCTGACTCCAAGGACCCTAATCCACCCCCTAATACTAATGCCAAAACCATCAACGTGCCCCCAAGGAACTACAATCCCTCAACTCCACAAAAGCCGAGACCCACGTCCAGCGCGTCCAAGCCGCACAGAACCAAGACCCAACAGCCGTCCAATTCACCAACGCCGAGCTCGACATCGAAGTGCAAGAGCGTGGGAAACTAGGGGAATTCATGCATGATACTTTTAGGCGGAGGAAGGGAAAAGACAACCTGGTTGTCATCATGGGTCTAGCTCCGTGGACTAATTTTGCAGCAGCGGACCAGGCGGGGTGGACTGAGGGCACGCTTAGTGCAGCGCAGAGGAGGAGGTTGTGGAAGGAGCATGAGACGCCTGGTCATATCATTGTAGTTAAGTGGGAGAATAACGTCGTAAGCCCCCTCCCCCTCCCCCTCCCCTCCCCTATCCTATAGGCAGCATGTGCTAACAGTAGGTAGATGACTGTATACGACCCCTCCTGGTCAGTTAACAGCCGGACGTATTACAGAGGTGGAAAGGTCCTGCGCCTTCATGAGATCAGTGGATGGTCTCTTGTAGTTGCACTGCCGAGGGCAATTAACAAGGAGGGGACGAATGTGCGCCTTATCCAGGGAGGGGGTGATGGCAATCAGTATGGGCAGTGCTGAAGAATGTCATATCGTTGGCTTGTAGTTATTGCAGCGATTGAGCCAGCTGCAGCTAAGCCTGTTCGTCGCACGTCCTGGGTAAAGGTCGTAGCGTGAGCTAGATGTATGACGTTGGGCTAATATAGTGCTATTAGTAGGAGGAAGCCGTTTGCAACACCCTACCTAGTTAATATCCCAATCTAACTGTCTAAACCTCCAACCTATACGTCGCAACCTCAAACGGCCTCAAACAAATCCTCACCCCCCCCTCCCCCCCCTCCACCTCCTCCCCCTCGTCCTCAAGCACATTCGTCTTCCACGCCTTCTTAACCTTAAACCCCGTCTCAATAACCCCCCTACTCGTCCCCCCCAAACTATCAAAGATCCTCACCACCACACTCCTCCCCTTCCGCTTCGGCAGCTCCCCCCGACTAACATCCTCATCATCCTCCCCCCTCTTCACCGTATCAAGCACCAGACTCACATCCCCGGTGACCCTGATATCAAGCACATTCAGCGCCTCAACCGCCGTCGCCGGCGCGCGAAGCACGCGCATGGGGTTGTTAAACGCGTATCCCGCCCTCACAGTCTCACTCCCCAGCTCCCCCTGATGCGGGAGCAACGCCCATTTAATATGATGCCTCCCCATATCCGCATGCGCGTCGGGCGCCTTGGGGGCTCTCAGCAAACTAAGTCTCATCACGTTCCCGCACGTCGCGAACCCGTATTTCGACTCGTTCAGCACCGACACGCCGTAGCCGTGCTCGCTCAGATCAGCCCACTTGTGGCAGCAGACCTCGAACTTGGCCATGTCCCAGGTGGTGTTGTAGTGCGTGGGGCGGCGCACGATGCCGAATGCCGTTTCGTACGAGGCCTCGGTGTTGCGGATGTCGATGGGGAATTCGACTTTGAGGAAGCGCATGGTTTCGTTCCACTCGACGTCGGCGGTGATTTCGACGAGGGAGGGCTGGTTGGGGAAGGCGGCGCTGAGGCTGATGGTTGTTAGGATGTAGGAATCCTCGCTGATGCGAGTCTCGCTCTGCACGCTGACGCGGTAGGGGGTGTTCTCGATGACGCGGGTGCTGGATGCGTGGAGCTCCTTGCGCGAGTCGAGGTGGTAGACTTCGACGTCCCAGGCCTGCCAGTAGAGCGGCTTGTCGTCGAAGATGACGAGCTGGTTGGCCCGGCTGCCTTTGGGGACGACTTCGCGTCCGGCTCGGTGGTCGTAGAGAGACGTGATGTTCCCGCCTTCGACCTGGACTCTGAGCTGGTCGTTTTCGAGGACGAAGACGTCCTCGATCACTTCGCGGACTGTCACAGCTGGCTTTTCGGCGATCTTGAATGGCTTGACGGTGATGGCAGTTCCGCTTCCACAGGCTATGCCGGCCGCGGTCGCTGAGATGCTCACAATCTCTTTACGATACCATGGAAGGGTATTCACAGCAACAAGTCCACCACTAACCCCAGTGACTACAGGGTCCTCAAGACCAAGTGCCTTGTGGGCTTCTTTTAACAGTCTGTGCCCAGTCGTGAATGCCTTGTCGTAAAGCTGCGAGTTCAATTAGAATGTTACAAGTAGTAGGGGAGGTGGACCTTACTTCATCCGAGTCGTCGTAGCACATCTCTATCGAACTGCCCGGTAGACAATCATGGAACTGGCACAGTAACGTAGCCTCCCATATATCATCTATATCCTCCTTGGGATACTTGTATTTCGAATTCTTAAGTGACGCAGCAGTAGCCAAAAGCTCAATATCGCGAAGCAGAAACTCAACCTTCCGATTATTGCGCTTGTTGTTCGCCTGGGTGGTGTATGTCCCACGGTGAAGCTCAAAGTACAGCTCACCATACCAAGTGACGAGATCCAAGCCCTTCCCAATTCGGTCTTCGAGTCGGTCATAGAAGTCCTCTACGGACTGTCCCATGTGAACTCTAGGTAATGCGCCTATTTTATCACTCAACCCTCTGCAACGTCTGAGCTTCTCCAAATGCTCCCACGTAGGACCACCACCACCGTCACCCTTCCCAAAGACCAAAAGCGAGGTCGCATCCTGATCCATCGACTTATGTTGGGTTACGCTCTTACGAAGGTCGCCAAAGTTAGCTTCCGCAGTATATGTCTCGGACGGACACATGTGGCAGATGACCTGGCTTCCATCAAGGGACACCCAATTGAATGTGGTGTGCGGGAATTTGTTGATATTGTTCCAGCTCAGCTTCTGGGTGAAGAAACGCTTCATGCCTGACTGCCTGCACAGTTGCGGGAGTTGCGCAGAGTAGCCAAAGGTGTCTGGAAGCCAGAACGTCTTGCATCGCTTCCCAAAGTTGCTCTCAAAAAAGCGTTGGCCGTATAGGAACTGTCGAGCAAGCGATTCTCCACTTGGCATATTTGTGTCGTGTTCCACCCAGCTACCTCCAACAGTCTGGAAGTTACCCTTCTTAATATGCGCCTTGACTCTATCAAAAAGGGATGGATAGAACTCCTTCAGCCATTTGAATTGCTGTGCTTGAGAGACCGTAAAGCGATGCTCTGGATAATAATCAAGGAGGTTGCATTGACTTGTCCAACTTCTAGCGACCTTTCTTTTGGTCTCAGCCCATGGCCAGAGCCAGCATGTATCGATGTGGCAGTTACCAATTCCATATACAAGGGGTTCAGTTCCAGTTTCGTAGACCTTTTCAGAATCTACGTTCTCGCCCAAGTATTCCTGGGCAATCTTCCTACCTTTTATAATCGAGTCCTGGTTGCCAGCCTCGAAAGTATCTATTATCGACGTTGCGACTTGAAGGGCTTTGTGCTGCTCCCAGGAGTTTTCTGGGAACTCCTTCGCAGCATCACCAATAACCCAGAAGTCCAGGCGTAAAGCCCTCGCCTGAACGTTAACAGCGACAATATCTGCCTTGCCCAATCTGAAATACCTGTTTGGATCAGGTGGTTGGATGGAGTCTCCTCCAGGAGCGTTGCCGAACATGCCGTTACAAGCCATCTCCACATATACGATGTGCTCTCTTTCATCTCTGAAGGAATCAGGAATAACCCATTCTACTCTTTCGCCTCCGCCTGTTAGGCCCTGCAACGGGTGGCCATCCTCAGACCACACGAGCGCCTCATTATTACCATCCCAGTGTAACTCAAGAAGCTCCTTTTTCAGTAGCTCCTTGGGAATGGTGAGGGCCACTCTAAACCAGTGGGTCGACCATGACGAGCCAAAAGACTCGCCGACTTTAGTGGGCTTAAAGTCGTGTGAAACGGCATCTTTGAAGGGCGGCCGAGCAAGGTCTGGCACGTTGTAGACTGATAGTTTGATATGGGGTTCTCCAGACACCACAGCCTCGTTCAGCATACTATCAAATACATAATCAGTAGCAGTTCTAGTATTATAATCACGGGCATTGAAGAAACTCACGATCGTAGGTTTTGGCTCTCATATTGGCCGCCCGCCGTAAAGGAATCAATGCGCTCCTTATAAATCCGCGAGATCCGCTGTCCGATCGGTTTCGCGGACAATTGAGGATACTGGCCGCCTGCCTTCGGAGCAGGTTGTCCGCCCATGATTATGTCTTTCAGTGCAGAAGTGGTTGTCTCGAGGAGGTTCTCTGGCAAGTTCGTGCTGTGGAGTGAGGATTCGCTGGTTAGCCACCGAGCTACAGCAGGGATGATGTGCGGGGCAGAGACCAAGTGGGAAGGCGATGGGGAATAATCTGGGGTAGAGTCGTCGCTCATGAAGACATTACGGCATTTTTTTTTTTAGATTTAAATAATGACAGAAGAGGACTATGGAATGTGTTTGAGACAGCTGTGAGATAAACCGTTGAGCATCGTGTCTTAGCCCTCATTGCTTTCCTTGTCAGGTCAGGAACGGTGCTAAGGTTACGACTGTATGATGTGGTGTGTCTCGCTCCTTCCAATCGTCCAATGAAATAACCAGCACATGACTTTGATTATTAAGGAAGTTGGTTTTGCAGTTTGTTATTGTCTTATAATGCAGGATATATCTGCCTTGCATTGCCATATCGCATAAGTCAGGTCAGATAGGTGTGTTGTTAGGATGTATGTGTCATGTGACTCGTGGATGGTATGCTTCAAGGAAACATGAGACTTCGCTGAAATGATGTCAGCAATCAGCAAGATAAGGGCAGTAAAGCAATGCGGAGAATTAGTTCTTCCATTCCTGACGTTAGTGTCAGTGATGGGCCCATTAGACAGGGCTATCGCCAAAGCAGTAAGGTATCCCCAAAGCAGTAAGATATCCCCAAAGCAGTAAGATATCCTCAAAGCAGTAAGATATCCCCAAAGCAGTAAGATATCCTCAAAGCAGTAAGATATCTCCAAAGCAGTAAGATATCCTCAAAGCAGTAAGATATCTCCAAAGCAGTAAGATATCCTCAAAGCAGTAAGATGTAAGGCCTACTCTAAGAGACTAGACGATTAGCTGTAATTGCGCTAACATGGGTAAATATTCCCCCAGCTGCCTCATTGGCACAATAGCTGTAATTGGGCGCTGTTGTTAACATGGGTAAATATTCCCCCAGCTGCCTCATTGGCACACTCATCCAATAAGACCCGTCGGCGTCGGAATGTGCCGCACCATGGCTCAGGTCCACTATCATCCAATGTCCACTATCATCCTATGTCCACTGTCATCCACCATGTCCACTATATCCACTATATCCACTATGTCCACCATGTCCACTATATCCACTATGTCCACTATATCCACCATCCACTAACTTCCACTCACTCTCCTGTTGTTGCCGCTGCTGCGCCGCCGATGCACCTCGCCGTGCATACCCCATTATACATTATCCCCATTATACATTATCCCCATTATACATTATCCCCCTTATCCCCCCTTATCCCCCTTTATCGCCCCCCGGCCGCACCTGCTCTACTGTACTCTTCTACTGTACTACCATGATGATGGACCCTTATCGTCTCAGCGATGTGTCAGCGATGTGTCAGCGATGCACCTCAGTCCATCCATGCTCTACCCACCATTGCCCACAATCAAGGTAAGCGGTGGAACATTTGCCGTTGCTTGAATCACTCGATGATTCGCCCCATCCACCTGCGAAAGCTAGCTTGGTGCAGTGCAATGTTGAGAGACTTTCTCCCACTCTTGTCTGCCCTGGGCTAGGCTTGACGCGTTTATTTTGGGACATCCCAGTCCGACCCCTTCAACATCCACCTGCCGTTCGATGGGCTGGCTGTACACCCAATTTCCAATAAGCCCTCACGTAAGAGGATCCCTGCGGGGGCGGGCTGATACTGCACTGGCGTCGTCATCTCCGCCTTCAGCTTTCTGAACCTTTTACTTTCTTTACTGCGCCGCTGACCATTTTTGTTATTTCTTTCTGCCCTTTGTCGCTCATTCAGTATCCTCGGATACCAGTCACTCTTTACACCGATCGACCTCGCGTTCAATTCTTCAACATGCAGTACTCATTCGCAAAGGCCTGCCTTTTGGCACTCGCCACCACCACCAGCGTCCTCGCTCAAATCCCCGGCTTCAATGTCCTCACCGCACCAACCAGCCAGGAGGTCATCCCGGCCGGCTCGACATTCACCATCAGATGGACTCCCAGTAACCCTCCCGCGCCTATCACCCTCTTCCTGATACAGGGCAAGGATGCTCAGAGTCTCAACATCGCTGACAAAGCCATCGCCAGTAAGTTCCCCTCCCCCAATCCTGCGGCGCAGCTCAACTAACAGGCACTACAGGCTCCATCGACAGCTCCCTCGGCCACTTCGACTGGGCCGTCCCCGCCTCCGCCCCCTTCGCCGCCTACGGTATCCTGCTCCAGCTCGACTCCAACCATGCTCAATTCCAATACTCCAACCCATTCACCATCAGCGGTGGTGCAGGCGGTTCCACTAGCGAGACTGGCGCCAAGGGAGCCATCAGCATTTCCGCCGCCGAGCCCACCGGAGGAAAGTCAACCACCACCATCAACGTCTCCCAGATCTCCACCGCGCCCACCACCTCCTCCACAAAGGCCGCGTCCACCTCGACCAAGGCGGCGCCATCCACCACCTCCGAGAAGGCCAGCTCGACTGCCGAGTCCACCACCAAGGCGGCGAGCACCACTGAGACCCCATCCACCAAGGCGGCGAGCGCCACTGAGGCCCCATCCACCAAGGCGCCTACCACCCCGCCATCCGCTACCCACACCGGCGCTGCGCCCCGCAGCGCCATTGGCGGCAGCGGCCTCCTCGGCGCTATGGTCATGGTGTTTGCGCTTTTCTAAGCAATTCGCTGTGGAGATGGGAGAGGGACGATTCTAGAGGGATTGGGATGAAGCGCTTGGCGCGCGGAGAAGAGGGGGAGGAGCGAAATATTACGGAAAATTTTGTTATGTGCTGGGGAGATTGGGATCTTATCTTGTTATACTGTGTAATGTACGCGTGTACTTCCTTGCTTGCTTTCAGCGAGGGGTTCGTCCCTGTTTTATCTAATCCTGTGCTCTGCTCTACTCTGTCCTAGCTGTTTTTTTGTGAGATCTCTTCGTCGAGTGGTGCGCGCGTGCGATGGAATACTTACAACAGTACTCTTGACTCGTTGCGCAAGTGTCATCCACACATACAGACAACATTTATGCCTTGCGTTGCGTCGTCCGCCCTATTTGCATTGAGAATATACCCAGAACCCGGACCAGCTGAAACGTATAACACCCCACCCCCCCGCATTCCTCCGTCCCAACTCCTCTCCCTCTAACTATCATCCGGGAAATGGCTTTCCCGGTCGCTATGATAACTTGTGAACCCTGTGGAGCTGAGATGATGTTGAGGGAGGGATGGTGGATGCTGGTCCAGCTGTCAGACTGGGGACCAGACGCGGGGTGTTGGGGATTGGCTTGTCCACTGTGGTTGTACCGGTATTGGGATGGGGCGTAAAGGGGAGGTGGATTAATGCGCGGTTACTTGGCCATATCAACGGGTGGTGAGAAGAGGAGAATTGGGGGGTCCAGTCTTGGCTATCGCTGTCGAGGAGAGCATCACTTGCGTTATAACTCCAAGATCAGAGTACCATGAAGGCACATAGGAGTTAATTTAAAATATACAGCTTCTGAAATAATCAATCCCAAAATCCATCAATTTTATCTCCACTATAGACAACTTTCTAACAACGTGGACCTCTTTTTAAGCTCGAAATTAAACTCGTCATCCTGTATCTAATCGCTAAACCCCCGGTTCCAAAAAAAACCCCTCACCTCCTATCCATCATCTATCATTTTATTTTCCCCCGCCCTCCCAACGTCCCCAAAAAAAGGTCATCTGCATAAAATAAAAAACCGGACACAGACACTGACACTGACACTGACACAATTCCATCAACTGCTCCACCGCCAAAAGTGATTGTGAGATAGAGTTGCAGAACAAGGCCTGCACACACCACCCATCCACCCATTGGCGCCTCACTATCATGCAGTCAATCACTGCAGCACGCAGCAGCCACCACTCACCCAAAACGGCCATCACACTACGGGCACCACGCTCTTGAGAGGTGCCACGCTCCTCCCTGTGCGCGGCGAGGAGGCAGATACCCGCCTTGTCCCCAGCGAGGGCGCAGGTTGCTCAGCTCCTCGGCTCCTCCTTCTACACTATCTTCTCGTACTATATACCGGAAACTTCCGCCGAAGTGATATCCCACCCCCAGCATATACGTCACTAACGTCCGCTCCCACGACCGAACCACATGACCCGCGGCAGCCAGCGGGCCCGCCCATCACTCGGCTTGGACCAGCTAGGTGAGCTGACGCTGAGTGGTTTGGTTGGCTGCACCGTAGAGCCGCAGCAGCGTGGAGCCTCGTCGGGTGCGCGCCTGGGTTGCGTGGTGAGCGCGGGGACGACAAGCTTTCTTCGTCAGCGCAGCCTGGTTGTCATTTGGATCATCGGTTTATCGGTCTACTTTGTCTTTGTCCCATCATCAAGGCTAATTTAGTGAGGTGGGGAGATAGATAGATTCTAGTGTTTCCCTATTTCTGGAATCCAGCTCGACGATCCGGACGGGAGCAGAGAATGTCGACTACCACAACACCGCACGCGGAGTCATCGGCTACCGCTACGAGAGGCAAGGAGCGCACGTTGGCGGATGCGATGAGGGAGCCGAGCGTGGCGGTGCCGGCGGTGGTGGTGCTGGATGAGGCGCATGTGGAGGTGCCGAGACGGGTGTTTGTTAGTGCGAATAGGGACTTGTGGCTTTCGACTGTGGATGGGTGAGTGGTGTTTTTTTACTTTGCTTGTTTGGTTGTTTTTACTTTGGGTAAATAGGGGGATGGAGGGGTCGGGGGGTTAGGGGTCGATGGGGGAGGAGGGGTTTGGGTGGTGTGGTTTTTTTGGGGTCGGGTTTTGTTGCAATATTGTTGGGCTTTTAGGGGTCTTGTGGAAATGGTTTAACATTATGTTCTCTCTTAGGCGTCATCAATCGCCGATTATACCGGTCAGGTGCGGGCCTGAGGCGGAGACGTTTTACGTACATAAGGATATCCTCACGAAATCGGAGTTCTTCAGGAATGCGCTTGATGGGCGGTTTAGGGAGGCGGGTGAGCAGGCCGTGGACCTGCCGGAGGAGGGCCCGGCTTTGTTCAGCTTTGTGGTGGCATACCTTTATGAAGGGAAATTTTCACCTATCAAACCTGCGGCGGATGCATTGGGTGAGTTTCTACGGTCTAGGGGGTTATCAAAGCTAATTAAGGATTCTAGTTGTGGAACTCCCAAAGGGGAAAGGGAGAGAGGGCGAAGAAGAGAACGAAGGATCAGAAAGTGGTAGCGGCAGCGAAATTGGCAACAGCAGCAGTGACGACTCGTAAGGCCAACCTCCCTACCCCCCCACCTCCACCCCTATCACTAACAACCCTCCTTAGAATGCCAAGCGAACGCCGCCTCCAAGCCCGCCACCGCCGCCAACAGCGCAACCTCGACCGCCTCTCAACGTGCTTCAACCACAACCAGCGCCCGCCCTGCTGGAACTGCGGCGTGCAATCCAACCGTCCCCCCCCCCTGCGCCGCGCCTACGCGGGATACGTCGCCCCTCCAGGCGTCTGGGGTGTGCCTCCCCCTCCTCCACCTATGGGCGTCCATCCTCCGCATCCCGGGGCGATAATGAATCGTCGTGGCCCGCCGCGGCCGCATGATGGGAACCAGCCACGGCTCTCGAGGGATAGGGGAATCGCGGATCCGGCGCCGGATCCGAGGATGGATGGGGAGGATATGCGGACCTGGCTGATGGCGTATGAACTCAGCGTCGACGTGTATATCTGCGCCGAACGGTACTGTCTCGATAATTTCAAAGCATGCATACGGCTTTGCATCATCGATTACCTCGAGACCGCCGGGATGGATGCTGCGCAGCCGCTTCTGCTGGAGTGTTGCCGGAAGTTGCATGCGGGGCTGAGCAGCAATGATGTGTTGCTGAAAATGGTGTTTGCGCGTGTGGGCTTCATGTTGGCGAGGTTGTGGAAGAATTATGGGGAGGAGACGCATTTGTTTTGGATGGAGAATGCGGAGGTGGGGGGGATGATTATGAAGGAGACGATGGAGAGGAGGGAGATGGATGCGGGGGATGATTTGCCGGCTATGAGTAGAGTGTTTCAGGTGGGGAGGTAGGTGGTTACGATGCACAGGTGACAGCAGGAGCCAGAGACTGTTATTGAGTATATGATGAGACGACTGGGATAGACTGACAACGTATAACGACAGATCACGAACGAAGGGTATGGTTTCTAGCGAAAAGATGTGATGACAAGTTTTCTTATATTCACGAACTATTGTATTCTTGGTGCATTAGCCTTTTCATTGTAGTTTGTAAGGTAGGATTATTTATTCTCTCATGACCAGAAATTATTATTGTATGAGTTTATTATAAGTCTAGTAGGATTAGTATCAATGAGAACAAATTAACTAGCGTTCAAATGCAACAAAAATGCCGTATGTAACTATGCAACCTAGAAACGTACCAGACATAAATTCATTTAACTATTACCAATATGGGGCTCTCATTCTCAAAGTGAAGTGTAGGAGAGGAAGTTGAATGATATATTATCTTGGCAGTGGGAGCTTGAGCTCTCACCGCCTTGCCACTCCGAGCATTTACTAGGGCAGTATCGCGACTGTGGCTGGCTGGACCCCGATTGACAACCCCCCTTCCATGAATACAGATTGTCTCTAAGATGATCTGATGCTCCCAATAGCTGATTGCAATGGAACAGCCATCTTCAAGCTCAAAGGTCACCGGTAAGCAAACACAACCCCCCGCGCCTACTACACCACTAACTCTACTACACAGTTGAGTACTTTGACCCCTACAATGTCTACGAGCTCTTGTCGCCTGGCCTCCTGGCTCGACTCCCCCTCCGAACACTACGCTGGGAATCCCACGCCGGCCCACTAAGATCAATCCGCTCCCTCCACGTCGACCTCGTCCCCGCCGCCGACGCGCGCCCCCCTTCCTCCGCCAGCAGCCCCGAGCTCTCGCGCGTCAAATCCAACGACTCCACCACCAGTGACGACGACGGCTTCCGCACGCAACCCCTTGGGAAATCAAGCAATGACCGCGACCGCGAAGAAGGGAAGCCTGCTCCTCTCCAAGCTCCCGTCAAAGGGCGGCGCCACCAAATCCCCGGTCTGAGGCAGACGCCGTACCTCAAAGTCCTGCTCCTCCGCTGCGACGACAATGACACCTACAAAGTGCAAGCGCGCAAACAAGTCCGCGAGTGGGTGAAGGCGCACACACCGCCGGCGCAGAGCACGGCGAAGATTAGCGCGCAGGAGAACCACGATGCGTTCGAGTACCTGATATTGCACGTCATTGTGCCGAACACGGCGGCGGCGACGCAACCGCGGGTTAGTGCTAAGGGCGGGAATACCATCTTCGAGAAGCTGAAGGCGGATTTTAATGGCACGGCGAAGGCGCCGGTGGATCGCGTCGCGCAGATCAGGATTGGCGTTAATGATGTGCCGTATGATCGTCTGCCGAGAGTCGTGCCGGCGATACCGGGGTCGTATGCGGAGAGTGCGCAGGAGCATGAGGCGGCGTGGCAGGATCTGATTGCCAAGTTTAAGAAGCTGATTCTGGACTCGTTTGATATGCGGGTCACGCAGTATGAGGATGATATTAAGGAGAAGGACGCGCAGAGGGCGTTGCCGGGATGGAACTTTTGCACTTTCTTTGTGCTGAAGGAAGGGCTGGCGAGGGGGTTTGAGAGTGTGGGCTTGGTTGAGGATGCGCTGGTCGGATATGATGAGCTTGCTGTGAGGCTTGATGCGATTTTCAGAGAGCAGGCTGCGACTGGTACGGGGGCTGAATATGGCGGCTCGTTTCTGCCTTATACGGATGACTTATTCGGCCAAGTTGAACAGGCCAAGAAGAAAATTGCAAACGGAGATGCTGTGGACCCATCAGATTCCGAAAGAACTGCCGACCTTCAGAGCTCTGATAGTGCTCAAGAGGCCGATCAGGATGAGATCCTCCTGAGCGCAGACCGAAAGCCGTACCGTGAGCTTATCCTGGCAAACAACATTTCTATATTCGACTTCCGATGCTACCTGTTTGCTCGACAGCTCTCCCTACTCCTACGCATGGGAAATGCCCTGTCATCTAGAGAGGAGCTTTTGGCTAAGTTAAAAGAGCAACGTGAGACTTCTCTTCTCGGAGTCGTTGCTCGGCATCCACCGACCCAAGCGCATGAAGAGGGTGAGAATCTCGCTCTTCTGAGTGAGATCTGCCGGCGCTCTATCAACTTCCTCGCGTCTATAAGCAGGATTATGCGCGACGACATTACATCTGCTCTGTATATATTAAAAGAGAAAAACCTAGACGCAAAGTCGAGTACAGCCGAGGATCTAGCCACGGTGCAGGCTATTGACAATGTCGTATCGTCGTTTACGTTTTCTGTTACCCAACAAATACTGGCTCAGACAGCAACGAAGGCTCTCCCTATTCCAGCCTCCAACCTGGCACCAATGAGTGCAACAGATGGCCCTGACCAGGAGAAGGCTACCATCCCAGAACCTAAAACCATGATGCACCCCGCGAGATCGTCGTCGCTCATTACGAATCCGCCACCAAGGGCGACAAGCCCTGGCGTATTTCCGGGCCGGAGAGTTAGCTCGGCGGCGGTTGAGAGTAACGCCAGTGTCAGCTCCACGTTCTTAAAAGCAGGGCTTGAGGATTTGGCTGCTGGCAGAGCTCATATTTACCTTCTCAGCCGAATTGTCCTCGAACGACTTGGTAAAAAACGAGAGTGGTCTGTAGGATGGGAGGAGCTTCAATCTTCAAATGGTGGAACTGGTACTATGGAAGAGGTTGACCTGAACTCTGACTCCAAAGATTCTCCGAAGAAGGCGGATAAAAGCATGCCGTCCCTTCAAGGGATTGACAATAAGCTTCTCCGAACGGCGTTGGAAACCCAGGGTGATTTCAACAGACTGTACGAGATATTAACGGATAAAGCCCTGCGCCACTTCTCAGTCGCAGGCCACACTCAGTCTGTGCAGGCGAACATGGCAGACCTAGCGGTTTTGAGATATCACCTGGATGATTATGCTGGGGCGGCATCATATCTATACCGCATAGCACAATTCTACGGTGAATCGGGATGGGAGCAGATACAGATGTCTATGCTGGTTATGTATACCAGATGCTTAAAAGAGCTTAAGCGGAACGATGAGTATGTCAGGATGGCTATCAACCTTCTGGCCAAAGCTGCTGGCTACGCGAAGAGCGACTATTTTCGAAAGTCTGGAGTTAAACTTGGCCACGAGGACGCACTGGAGGCCCTCGAAGATATATCCGTTGATGGATATCTCACGGAGCTGATGACTATTGTTCCCACTCTTCAGAATGATTTCGCTGTCTCATTGAAATACTTCTTCGCCCGCATCGAGGTTGAGGGAGCTGCGAGGTATCATGAAGGCCGTGATAGCTTCTCTATTCAGCTCAAGCTGCGGTATCTTCTTCCTGACGACCTGCATATTGACAAGGCAAAGGCTCGATTGGTACCAGTTACGGCGGGACAGGCTCGAGATATCTGGCTTGATTTACAGGAACCTATGGATTTGAAGCCTGGGATTAATAGGCTACAATTCCAGAGCAATGTAAGTATTCCCATGGATGCCCTATGACACCCACTAACACCCGCGCAGGTTACTATTCCTGGGACCTATGTCGTAAAACAACTCGTACTATACTCGTCGAAGATGGTAATGTCTTACGAGACCGAGAGCGCACCGCCAGCCATGACACAAAGCATGGACTTCTTTAAATGTCACCGCATTCGTCTATACCAACGCGCGGATTCATTTGACGCCAAGCTAGCCGCCTCGCAAAACCTGCACCTAGACCGCCAGAGGGCTCTCGAGGTTACATTTTCATCCGGCTGGAATGATGTCGCTAGTGGCGAGATCCATGTCCGCGCCGCGACAGCAGGCCTCCGTTTGCAGACTGCAGAGACGAAAGTGCTCGATGGTGAACTCGAGATCATGAAGAAATCGAATCCGGGGGTTATTCGTTTTGGGGCTCTACCTGCGAATTCAACCGTCAAGCTTAGTTTACCATTTAGCCTTGAGCAGGAGACAAGCACACTTGCGCTTAAGGTTGAAATGTCGTACACAGTGGGCGAGGAAGTATTCTTCCTCGCCTGCAGCCCGACTATATCTGTGCTGTTACCCCTTGGCGTCAATGTGCAGGATGTATTCAAGCGGAAGGCGCTCTTTTCAAAGTTTACCATCTCATCTGCCACAACCAATCCTCTACGACTTCTCAGCTCGAGTCTCTCGGAATCAGATATCTACGAAGCTTGCAGCGGAGACGAATTTATGGACTCGGTAGTCATCTACCCCAGGCAATCCGCGTCACTGCTCTACCGGATCAACCGCAGAAAGACACCAATCATCCCCGCCGGCGGCAAGAAAAAGCAAGTATCCTCCCTACAGCTGAAGTTGCACTACATCTGTCTCGAAGAAGAAATCGACGACGCCATCACCTCCGCCCTAACCACCTCCCTAAAACCGACCCCCCTCCACCAATACACCCGCCTCATCATCCCCGCCATCCTCTCCGTCCTCCACTCCCGCCTCTCCGCCTACGACCTCGAGCGCGCCGCCCTCCTCGGCGAACTCCTCACCTCCACCCTGCTAGACACAAACTGGTCCCCCTACTTCAGCGGTCTGCATACCTCATCCCAGCAACCCACCGACGTACCGACGCAGATCGCAACCTGGATCCGCGCTTTTCACGCTGCGCACCCGTTCATCCCGCTTCCGCCTTTTGTCACCACAGCAAATACTATAGCACAGAGCCGCTCTATCACTATACCCGTCGCTGTACCGTCCATAACAGTCGTCCACACCGCGGACTTGCAACTCACCACGCCCTCCCCCCACGGCGCGGATACTACCACCGACGACCTCGTCGCCATCACCAACCAACCCATCCCCGCCACCTTGGTACTAAAACACACCCGCGCCTGGGACAGCCCCGACTCACCCCACCGCGCCACCGAGCTAGCATTCACCTACGAGCTCCGCGCCCCCTCCGACACCTGGCTCCTCGGCGGACGCCGCAAAGGCGGGTTCAAGATCCCCGCATCTGGGATAGCGCCAACGACGCTACGGTTCCCGGTGCTGCTTATCCCGTTGCGGGAGGGGTATCTGCCGTTCCCGAGTTTGGAGGTTAAGGCTGTGCCGGTCGTGGGGGCTGGGGCTGGGGCGGAGATGAAAGCGGATAAGGAGAAGGGGGAGGTGAAGAAGGAAGAGGGGGTGAGGGTGACGAGTGAGTGCGATTATGGGAATGTGGCGATGCTGGTTAGGGTATTTAGTGATGCGTTTAAGACGACGGTTAGTTTGGATGCGAGTGGGCCGCAGGGAGGGGCGTGGTTGTTGGAGAGTAAGAGGAGGGGGGAGTGAGTGTCGTTGGGGGTATGAAGAGGTGCTTTCGCTGCGCGAAGTGTGAGGAGGGGGTTTGTTGCCTTATGACATTGAAGAGTTACTAGAGACCAATATACCCGCTTGGTTAGACAAGATGAAGCTTTGATGTCACGCATATATATGATGAGTGTCATGTAAACTGTAAATTATAGTCTATGGAACGCTCAACGGCGCGCTCTCTCTAGGCTCATATGCGATATGCAAATCCTCTATGCTATTATACCTCCTCCTCAGCCCTATTTATTATGCAAATGCTTTGCCAAAAAGGAAACAACAACCACACACAAGTTGACTCCGTCGCCATGCCTTTACTCCCAAATGAAATAAAAATAAAAATTGCGGCCGAATGCCAGGTTTCGTTCCCGTCACGTCCAGACGGGAATATGCAATGAATCTCACCTCATTTAATGTATCATCTCCTCGATATACAGTACCCCACTCCAACATATCTGGCTCCAAATCATATATGTACTGTACTTTTGACTCTGACATACCAATCAACACAACTCATTCAAGACGTAGGGCAGCCCAACTGCGCGCGCTCAAAAGCCGCCGCAAAGAGATGCTCCATAGCGCGGTAGTGAAACAAGATCCCCCCCAGCACCGCAAAATGCCACAAGTTATGGCTCCCCCCGACGTAGTCAAACGCACCGGGATACCACTTCTCCGGCACCTTACTAGCATACACGATCGCGCCGCAAAAGTACACCGCAATACTCTTCGTAATCGGCGCGTAGAAGTCCCACGCCCAGTCCCCACCGCGCGTCCTCACTAGCTGGAACACAGGCACGAAGCCCGTCGCAGCGAGGGTGACGTAGAACGCGACGCGGCCCCAGGCCATGTTCTTCGCGTTGAAAGTCGGGTGCCAGGGGAGGATGACGCCGGCGACGCCGAGGGTTGCGGTGGCGATTAGGTAGACGGAGCGGGCCACGGGTTCGCAGTAGAACGCCGTGTACTCCGTCGTCATGATGGAGGCGGCGATGAGGAGCGAGATGCCGGTGTAGTCTACGCAGGCGAAGCGCTCGAGCAGCGTGCGGTTCGCGACACAGTTCATGGTGTGCCAGAGGCAGGAGCAGACGAGGCATTTGCAGGCGGCGAAGAAGAAGACGGCGGCGATGACTTTGTCGGCTGTGGTGGAGAGGGAGAAGTTCACGGAGGTGGGGTAGAAGTAGAAGGCGATCGAGAGGACGATGAGGAGGCCGATGGCGTGCGACCAGATGTTGACGAGTTCGTTGGAGATGGTGAGTGTTGAGCGGAGGATGTGGACTTTGGACTCCGAGAAGCGGTAGCCGCGCGTGATGTGAGGGTTCACTTGCCATGGGGCGGGGAGGTCCTGGAAGTTGATCAGGCCGTTCTTCTTAGCTTGCGAGACGGCGTGGGCGATGCGGATGTCCAGAGCTTCTGCCGCTTTCATGGCGCGCTCGATACTGTCATCAACCGCGACCTTGGCCCTGCCAATACCCTCATCGACCATTCTGCGGCCACCCTCGATGACCGTGTTTGCGGCATTGCAGAAGCCCTGGTCCCGGAATTTCATCGCTCGCGCCTCGTATTCACAGAGCATCTCTTCTAATAGGATGAGCCCCGTCTGTGCCTTCTCAGCAAACGTCTCCTTCGCTACCAGCGCGTTTTGATATCTCGACTCTAGAGTCTCCACCATGACCTTGGCCCTCCTGCGGCCAGCGTCGAGGACTTCTTCCGACACCTGGGAGCATCGTGCCCGTACCGCTTGTAAAGTCGCGTAGGCCCGTTGGATGCTGGCATCGAGGTCGATGTCGCCGTACTCCTCAATCAAGTCTAATCGTCGTTCTAATTCTTCGAGGAAGAGGTCAATCTAAACAGAGAATGTTAACTATGTCCCTGGACGACCGTTGGGTTCGAATTGGGATGTACCTTCAACTGAAGCCCGTCCTCCCAATCCAAGCTGGAGACGGACAGTTTTCCACTGCGAGAAGACGAGTTGCGTCGTTTGTATGCCACTGTTGGGGCTCCAATGCCCGATGTCGTTGCGCTGGGGGTCTCAACAGAGCATTCCGCCCCGGCGGCTAGGGCGGTAGTCGAAGCCATGTTTGGCTCAGGGGTTTGTGTAGGCCACTTCGAAAGCTAGTCGCTGACTCACGGGATGTGAACCCAGGGCGTTGTAATGAATGCTATTGTTTGTTTGTAGCCAGCGTGAAGGATTGGAAATTGAAGTCCGAAGAGGGGGAGGTCCGTCAATCGGCCGTGGTCGTTAAAAGGAGCACTATAAACTGCAGGCTCGAAACCCGAGGGACGTTTTGTAGTGGGGAGCGGTTAAAATCTTTAGTCGGGGGATAACAGGGTGTGGGGTCTCTGTGGAGTGGACAAAGATATTTAATGTATGTACTGGTATGAATATAATATAAATGAATATGAATACGTTTTTAATCTTTAATTAAGTTGTAATGAGTGGGAAGGTGGAAAGCCGTTCCCAGATATGTCCTCCTGTTGATCTGTTGGCACATGCAATTTTGACCGGAATAACCAGCCAAGACTTACCCAGACCCCTTATGATCAATAAGTCACGTAAAAGGAGGCAAGTGGGAGCGGTTTGGCTCGGACTTGAAGGGACGAAAAACTCGACTAAGTCATGTGACGTGTAACCAACTTGGCTGCCACCACCAGGAAATTCAAAAAGATTAAAAAAAAGATTTAGAAACCATCACGTGAAAATTTGTCATGTGATGTGTCGTTTCTGGCAAGGGAGACGGACGGACAAGAGTAAGGCTGACTTCAGCCTCGACCTCAACTCTCCACGATCTCAGCAAACAAAACCACCTACCGTTCTACAGAACCTACCTCGACAGACAAACACAAGCCTACCCTCCCCCCCAATCCCCAAAAATGGCAATCGACACCGTGGTCACCGACCCCTCCCTCAAGGCCGTGCTCATCGCCTCCCGCGAAGCCCGCCAACAAGCCATCGACCTCCTCACCCTAACCTCCCCGCCCCTCCCCCCCTCCACCGCCGCCCTCCAGATCTCGAAGCAGCAAAAACTCCTCAACGGCTACCTCGCCCAGCTGCGCGGTCTCCAGCGCCAAGCCACCTTTGGCGCGCGCGATACGAAGGCACAGACGGCTGAGGCGCGCCAGGAGGTCGATAGGCTGCACTTGCAGTTGCAGAATCTGTATTACGAGCAGAGGCATTTGCAGGGCGAGATTGCCGCTTGTGAGGCTTATGAGTTTGTCCCCCTCCCTCCTCCGCAGTGGCTGGAGAACTTGTTAAACTAACGCAAAGCAACGCAGACACAAATACCTCGAGCTCCCCCTCATCCCCGAATCCGAGTTCTTAGCCCTCTTCCCGGCGCACGTTGGGAAGGATGAGGAGGCGTTGATGGCGGCGCGGATCGAGCATGAGCATGCGGAGCGGGAGGCGCTGGAGCAGCAGAGGCAGGGGCTGTTGAAGATGAAGCAGGGGTTGATTGCGGATAATAAGAGGAGGAAGGAGGATTTGGCGAGTTTGGATAAGCAGTTGGAGAATTTTATTGATGCGGCGAAGCCGATTCAGAAGACGCTGGAGAAGGTTTGAGGGGGTTTGGCTTTTTGAGGGTGGGGGAGGGAGGGGGGGAAGGTGGTATGAGAGAGTGGCTTTTGTGCGTGTGTGATGGCTGGGATGATGGAGGTCGTATGGCGATATGAGGGCTTGATATGCCTCCGTGCAGTTGGGCATGAGGAATGAGAAGAGAGGTGTCGGACACACAGCACAAGAGGGAGCACTTGGCCATGGACCTCTACCAAATTTCTGGAGCAAGCAATTCATCGCCAAAAAGCAACCTCTGACACGGTACACGACATGCTCCGCACGAAATCCAACCCCGCTGCTAGGACAAGGACAGGAAGAGCTCATCCCAAGACCGACCCGGTAAGCACGAAAACAAAATACCATCTACCTTCTCGGGGTATCCCCTGTCTCTCTAAGATACCTAGCTGTGTACTCGTAATCTCGGCATGGTTACACGGCAGTACGAGGACTCGAAGACGGAATTCCCAATGCCTAACCCGGTCCCGTGCCCGGACGAAGTCAAGATGCAGATGGATAAGCTACGGCTTCAATGGGATGTGCGGGTGTATAAGAGGTTAGGCGTGGATGCGGTGTTAGGTAGCTGGAATAATATACCCTGAAGATGCTCCAACTTACATCTCGTCTACAAACCCCATTAGCACACTCGACATGGCGCCATACCATGGCTCAAAAAGACAACGCCTCCGGCGGCTGGGAAATTGGCACACTCCTACTCCGTCCGTCTGCGGCAGGGGGGACTCGTAAGGTTCTGTTTGGGGCTGTGTGTGAGGAGTGGTTGTTTCGCACGGAGAGATGGATGGGCTGATGATATGCGGGGTTGCGCCGATCAGGAGGGCCGTTTTTTTCTTGTTTTTTTTTTTTTCTAAATGAGGAGGTGGTGGGCGGTGTTTGGGGGTAGGATGGGTGGGGTTAAGTGTCCCCAACCAAACCCGTGAAATGGAACTTCCCGACCTGACTGGATGGTACTCGTAACGGTCCCGCCATCTCGTAGAGAAGGAAAGAGGGTGTGTAGTAGCCTTTACCGGCCTGTGGTGAATACGAAGCTGTTCTACAGCCTGTAGAACAGCTTAAAGAACAGCCTGAAGCTGTTCTACAGCCTGTAACAGCTTAAAGAACAGCCTGAAGCCGCCTTAGCCGAGAAACGTCGGCTCTGAAAGCTTGTCAGGTTGAGTAAGCAGTAAAGTACGGAGTAAGCTTTACAAGGTTCGGGATATATTTCAGTGGTCTCCTCGCAGCTCAAGGATACCTGCATGTCAATGGTGTCTTCCTTGTCCGCACAGGACAGGGCAGGACAGGGCAGGACAGGGCAGGACAGCACAGCACAGCCCAGCACAGCACAGCACAGCCCAGCCCAGCCCAGCCCAGCACAGCACAGCACAGCACAGCACAGCACAGCACAGCACAGCCCAGCACAGCCCAGCACAGCACAGCACAGCACAGCACAGCACAGCACAGCACAGCACAGCACAGCACAGCACAGCACAGCACAGCACAGCACAGCACAGCCCTCAACCCCCCTCCCCCCTCCCCACTCTATTACCTATTACTTACAATAGAAACCCCATTCCAAACCGCCAACCAGCCATTCGCCCGTATACACGGCGGTTTGATGAAGATAACCACGGGCAGCCTCCAGCCTCCAGCCTCCACATGCAAACACGCCTTGGAAATGGAAAACGACACATGTGGTAGAACCCCCCCCCATCCTCAGATGGTCTCGGCCGACCGTCCCTCCCCTCCCAGCCTCTCCAGCCTCCCCAGCCCGCCCCAGCCCGCACCTCCCCACCCCTTCAGCCCGTCTGCGCCCGACACCCACACAACTTGCTCTGCCATCCCACGCCCAGCGCTGGTCATAGCTGAGAAATGGGCCCCTTCGTTTGTCGATAGGGGAGCAGGTGGGCAGCTGTCGCTCTTGGCGAAACTTAGTATAGGTGTCGCCAAGAGAAATAGCTGGGCACAGAGTGGTTTTAGTAGGGGGAATCTGATGGGAGAGGCAAAGTTTAATTTTGACAGGAGAAGGGGGGGTGGGGGGTGTGGGTTTTTGATTGGGTGTATGGGGCGGTGCGTGAGAGGCCAATGGGGGGAGGGGGGAGGGAACGTGGGGGGGTTGAGGCGCTAGGGAAGGCTTGTGTGTGGATGGGGATGGGGATGGGGATGGGGATGGGGATGGGGATGGGGATGGGGATGGGGATGGGGGGGATGGGGATGGGGGGATGGGGAGGGGATGGGGAGGGGAGGGGGAGGGGAGGGGAGGGGAGGGGAGGGGAGGGGAGGGGAGGGGAGGGGAGGGGAGGGGAGGGGAGGGGAGGGGACAGAGACAGAGCATTGTATTGCACTGTACTGTAATGAGAGACGAGAATGAGTTATTCCGATCCGCATGTCGTACACATACCAGCTTCGAATGCTGACAAAGAGCTGTCCCATACCAGCTTCGAATGCTGACAAAGAGCTGTCAAACATAGCCATATACGCCATGCCAAGCATTGTATATATAGTAGTAGTATGGCCCTCAAGGTTCAGAGGGTTCAGAGGGTTCAGTGGGTTCAGAGGGTTCAGTGGGTTCAGAGGGTTCAGTGGGTTCAGAGGGTTCAGTGGGTTCAGGTTCAGACTATCGTAATAAGACAGCTTGGCAGACTTGTGGCGGCGGCTGATTGTCAAACTTGTCCCTCGGCGACAGTAAGTAGTGGGGCATGAGATCGACGACGCAATGGGGAAAAGGGGAGTTATTGAAGGCGATGGCCATAGGTTGGTTCGGTAAGGGCAAACATCGGTGCCTGGTGCTGGTGGAGGTGGGTGCACAATATCGTCTCTGACCTTCTTGTACCTGACTTCTGACCAGATGACATGACTTCTGTCTGACCAGACACGGGAACGGGCCATCCCATCCATCATCCATCATCCATCCACCATCCACCATCCATCCCATCCCATCCATCCCATCCATCCCATCCCCGCTGCCTTGGCCGAGATTGCAGGACCTGATGAGTCGCTCCATTCTGCTGCTTCCCCACTGATGAGTCGCTCCATTCTGCTGCTTCCCCACTGATGAGTCGCTCCATTCTGCTGCTTCCCCACTGCATACGAGACGTGGAGTAATGCAGAGATGCATTCACCAACCATCCCATTCCCTTTCCCTTTCCCTTTCCCTTTCCTATTCCTTTCCCATTCCCTTTCTCATTCCTTTCCCATTCCCTTTCCCTTTCCCTTTCCCTTTCCCTTAGAAGGCAACCGTGACCGCTGCGCCTTCCTCACCATCTCCCTACGGCCCGTGCTTCAGAGATGTGCTTGGTTGGCTGGCTATGGGTATACTCCAGCTATACGAGTAGTCCACCTATACTCCACCTAGCGAAGGGATAGTACTCCAGCTTGCCGCCGTACTGTCTTGCTACGTACTGTCTGTGCTACTCATCCTCCCTAGACCTGGCATATTTCCCTGCAAGCACGCCCGTTTACTCTTCTTAGCTTCTGGCCAACCCTCATCTCCCCCGTTTACTACTTTTGGAAGTATTCGGCGGTGACGTGACTGGGGCGTGAGATGGGAGGGGGAGGGGGAGGACCGTGAGGAAGGGGATCACCCCAGCAGAAGTGTGACTCCAAGCCACCCGTATAAGCAATACCAGATTGGGCTATGAAAAGCTTGGGTTATGAACAGCTCCCCTCCTCCCCCAAATATCTTCTTGGCCCTATCTTCCATCTTCCCCATCTTCCCCATCTTCCCTATCTTCCCTATCTTCCCTATCTTACCCGCTCGTGTCTCCCTCCTCTCGACCTCGTCTACCCAAAATATTCCACCTCTTTTCTCCCCCCCCTTACCTTATTTCCTACGCTTACTCTCACTTAATCGCGGCTTCCCGAATAAACCTTTCTCTCCTGTTTAATACACACCTGGCAACCTTAATCTCTCACCTCTCACAGACTAGACTGTCCTCGAGTCTTCCTTCCCACCTATACATCTGTCCAGACGACAACTATTCACCCTATCTTGAACACGGATTTTTCACACGGCGTACACGCCGTCCTCACCTCCTCACCTCCTCACCTCCTCACCTCCTCACCTCCTCACCTCCTCACCTCCTCACCTCCTCATCTCCTCACCTCCTCACCTCCTCATCTCCGCCTCAATGTCTATATTTCTATGGGCCACCCGACGGGTGGGAGGCCTCTCAGTCCTCGCATTGGCCTCCCTACTGTCCATATCACTATACCTCGAGTGGTCGACGCGCAAACAAAATATCCAAAAGCCACAAGGTGATTTCAAAGCGCCGAGCCATGCCTCGAATACAACGCCACCCGTTACAAATGGAGGCTACTGGACTCTCGCTTTCGCATACTACTCCGTCCTCATTCATGCCATGGTCCTCATGTTCCCTGTCCGAGCATGCTTGGCCGTGGGCAGCCTCACGCGCGGTGTGAAGGCCGTTTCGCGCAACAGGAGTCTGCAGCGCTTCAAGTACGGCCCGACGCGCAGGCTTTCATTCATGTCTCTCGCCAGTGATGTGACTCTCACATCATCCCTTGCCTCGACCTCGTCTTCCAGTGATGCCGGAGACTCTGACATGATCGACTCCGTTACCGATGTTGAGTATGACCAGGAAAAGGTCATCCATGCTATAATAATCCCTAATTACAAGGAGGATGTGGACGGGCTGCGCGAGACCTTGGATGTTCTTGCTTCTCATCCCCAGGCACGATTGAGTTATGATGTGAGTATCCCGTCCTCTCAGTCTCACTGTTGGATCACTGGCAATGGTTCTAACCAGTCTTACTAGGTATATCTTGCAATGGAGACCCGCGAATCTGGCGCAGAAGTAAAGGCTATGGGCCTGGTGTCTGAGTATATGAAGAAGTTTCGTTTTATCTACTTTACGATGCACCCGAGTGATATTCCAGGCGAGGCGCCTGGAAAAGGTAGCAACGCCGCATGGGCGGCGCGGAAGCTCAGCGAGAGATATTCTATGGAGGAGCGTAGAGATGTCATCATTACTGGAATAGATGGTATGTCCCTTTACTCCATTGTTAAGGGGTGCAGATATGCTAACAATGAGATTCAACAGCCGATAGCCACCTTTCTTCGAACTACACCGCTTTAATTACTAATATGCATCTCGAGTACCCGGAGTTGGCACAAACTACACTGTACTCAGCACCTATCTTATTCGACAGAAATGCCCATCTTGTCCCGACCGTCGTCCGTGTTGCCGATATCCTGTGGTGCGCAGCTGGATTATCTGGCCTATACGCCTGTTCATCTATCAGACCGCCTACCTCTGTCTATTCTCTACCTCTGGAGTTGGTAGACCGCGTTGGTGGCTGGGATTCAGACCCCGAGGCTATCGGAGAAGATCTGCACATGTACCTGAAGTGTTTCTTCGCCCTGAACGGAAACCTGACGAGCAGGACCGTTCTGTCGCCTGTCAGCCAGACCAGTGTGTGCAGCGGGCAGAAGGGACACCGAGGCTTGGTCATGGATATCCGTGCGAGATATGCACAAGCTATGCGCCACATGTGGGGTGCTTTGGACAGTGGATATGCGATGAGACAGATGGTTAAGCTGTGGAAGAACAGGAAGACGACGGTGCATTCCTACAGACCCCTCCACACGACCCTTAACGCAGAGACCGACTACCTCCCCACCCCCGACGAGAAGATGGAAGAGCGCAAGGCCGAGAACGGCATCTTCTCCGACGTGACCCACGGCGATGTCAACTCCCCCGACTATATCCGCATCTTTTATCTCTTCCACCGCCTCTTCGAGGCCCACTTCCTCCCCACCCACATGATCCTCCTCGTCCTCGCCTCCTCCCTCTACACCTGCATCACCGCCGACAGGCCCGACACCCTGCACATCGCCTGGACCTTCTCCCTGACCAACTACCTCCGCATCATCAGCTTCGGCGGCACAGCCGTCTACCTCATGCTCTACGAGAGCTACCACGCCACCGGCGCCGGCCTGCGCCTGGCCGAGATGACTTCCGTCGGGCTCGCGGAGCACATGGTCTTCTCCTTCCGCAAGTTCCCCGGGAACCTGGTCGATTACGCGGTCTCGCCCCTGGTGGCGCCGCTGTTTGGGTGCGTGCCGGCGCTTCAAGCGCAGTTTAGCCACTTTTGGACGCAGGAGCTGGTTTATGCCGTCAGTGCCAAGCCGGAGGTGGTGGGGAGGGTGCGGACGAAGACTGTGAGTGGGGAGGAGTTTCTGAGCGTGTGAGGGTTTCTGAGCTTTGCTGTGAATTTCTCTTTTTTCTGTATGCTGGAGTGGGGGAGTTTTTGAGAGGTGAGCTGTATTTTTGGGGTTGTAATTTTTTTTTGAGGGCTTTTGTTTTGCTGGTGCGGTGGGGGGTTGGGGGGGGTTGGTGTTTTCTTTTTGAGTAGGGGAAGGAAGGGTTTTTTGGGGGGAGGGGGGGGGTAATAGAGCATGGATACTTCATTGTCTCGCTGGAGCGGATTTTGTATAGACGTGGGGAGGCATGGTCTTGGGTTTCGCGGGGTGGTGATGCATGTCAGTCCCTGTGTGGGCATTGTAATACGGAAGTGATGAGGGATAGGGGGCATGGTATCGCGGGAGAGGCGATGGGTGGCATGTGGGAGTTCTTAGATAGATTCATAGAAGGGGGATGAGATGTTTGATAGCTGGAGGGGCGGAGTGCATGGATGGATGGGTTGATGCTGGGGGAGAAAGCGCGGTTAATCGGCGCTGGTAATTGAGTAATCTAATGAATGGCTTTTGAAGATGGGTGATGGTTTTTTTGGAGTACTTGTAGAGATGTGAAGGGGGGTGAGGAGAGGGGAGGTGCTAAGGAGACGTAGAGTGGGTTCGCTATGATATGCGCCCTTTTGAAGATACCATCACTTGCGGGTTAAGAGAAGACCAACCAACGGAATCGAACACGTCCACATGTTTCCCATCCTGATCAAGAATCAAAGATCGCCCCAAACGCAGGAATACCCCTACTCTCCATACCGTACACAATCATCTGCGTCAACTTCTTATTCGAAATGACACACACGGCCTCCGCATTGCTCTCCTGCAAAAGCCGATACGAAATGGCAATCATATCCGGCCGTCCCATCGTTTTCGTGTTATGGATCACCGCGTCCGGATCCGCATCATATACAGCCTTGATGATCTCAGGCCCAAAATTCTGCTCCGGATGGGGTGTCGACCAGAATATACGTGCAGGCACTCTCTTGGCGTATATGACAGGCAGACAGGGCCCGATACCAGATCCAGTGGCTACCAACACTATCCTCCTGAAGAGGGGTGCGATTCGAAGAACGCCGCATGCGGGGACGCCTCTGACCCAGAGCTTTGGAGGGCCATTTTGGATCTGGTTTAATGTCCAGTCACCCGCATTTGAGGCCAGGAGCGAGAACCCCTTTTCGTTGGGCTTTGCGATGGTGGCGAATGCGTGCCACTCCACCAGAGGCCGCTGGGAGATTCGAACGGCGGTGCCTACAACAGGGGTTGCGTAGTCGAAATAGAGCCGGACTGCGTGGCCGGAGAGCACATCTCGGCGTACGTTCACCTTGCGGAGATTCAGCCAGGGAAGAGCGACGCTGCTGGTGGCGATGAGGAGAAGCCAGAAACGGGGACTGTTTGTCAGGGCTTTCCCTAATGGGGTGGTGCCTCGCAAGCTGTCGGTCAACACGATGGTCTGTATCCAGAACAGTGCCAGTGCTGTCCATCCAGCAAACCTATGGATCAGCTCGAACCGGTTATGGAAGCGAGCACGGAATGTAGGATGGGCTGAGGCAACTATTCCCACAAGCAGCGCTATGAGTGTGTATGAAACGGCGAGAACAGCTGGGTGGGCGAACTCAATCGTTGCTGCGATGGTGAAAACCAAGAGCCAGGCAGTCGCTGCAACGCCAGCACCGCTGTGCAAACCCCCAATATGGTATACTTTGGCACAGTTGCGCCGTATGAAAAGGGGAGCCGAGGTGGGGACAGAGCATGCGAGGGTGAATAAAATGTTGACAACGTGGTCCTGCCTCATTAAGACCGCGGTGCATAGATTCGCCGCCGTTGCAGTTCCTAAACTTGGTAGGCCGGGCCTTTGGACGGCGTAACGATGGATCATGTAAATCACCGCTACCATGTTGCCTATGAAGACAACTGAAAAGAACCGTCGGTATAGAGAGAAAAATCGGTAACGCAGCGCCCTTGCTCCGTGGGTTCCGAATTTTTGTGGAAGTGGATGCTTCTCCTGCATACTTGAAGTAGACGAATCGGATTTATTCGCTCCTGTGTCGGAGGACTCAATAGCCGTGACAGCGGGGTATTTATCTGGATCGTTCAGAATGGCTGGAGTTGGGTTGGCGATTAATTGCATTTCTTGGTTGACAGGTATTGAAGCCAAAAGAGCTTGCTTGTCAATTTTGCCATTTGGAGTAAGGGGTAGGTCGAGTCGATACACCCATTGACTTGGTATGGCATAATATGGTTGACATTTACTAACCACAGCCTTTACATCAAACTCGTCGACATAAGATGGGCCAGAGTAGAATCCCCAGAGGACTTCGTCATTTAGAATTGCACAGGCTCGATTGATACCGGGTGTTTGCTTTCAACCTTGTAAGATGACGCTGCTTTTGCTCAGGCCCTGGATATGACTTACCTCTATTGCAGTGGCCACACTACTTAGCTCCACTCTAAATCCCTGTTGATAGTTAGGAAGGAGCTCGGTGTCTCAAAAGGATGGATGAACGCACTTTAATCTTCACTTGATCATCGATTCTCCCAAGGGTTTCCAAGGTGCCATCATCTCGCCAGCGCCCGAGATCACCGGTGTTGAACATAAAAGACCTATTACTAGCAGTTAGTATACAACTTCAAATATAATTTTGAATTGGTTTCATACCCATCACTAACAAACTTATTAAGTTTGAACTTCTTTGACGTTTCTTCTGGTAGATTCAGATAACCTCGTGATACGCAGCGACCACCAGCCCACATGAGACCGATACTACCAATTGGAAGGGGTTTTTCGTTTTCATCAAGAATATACACATCAGTGTTTGGCACAGGCTGACCGATAGACAAATCATGCCCTGGCTGATGAACATGCATAGTGTTCACGATCGTAACCTCCGTTGGGCCGCAACAGTGATAGAGAGTGGCCTCCGTTGCCCATTCATCGGCCAGCCTTTTTGGAAGTCAGCAAATTGGCTTGCGGCTATTTTTAGTATTGATCACAACTTACGATTTTGGACACGGCTCTCCAGCTAAAGCCACCACCTGAATGTTAGGATATTCTGCTCTAACCAGCTTTCGAAGAACTGATGGCGTTGCTATAATCGTGTTGGCCTAGCTAGGTGAGTAGAGAGACTTTGGAATAAACCCGTGGTACCTACCTGCTTTAAAACATCATTCCAATTGGAAGTACGCAAAACCAGTGTGCCTCCGTTTAAGAGTGTTGCTAGGATTTCCCATTGTGCTGAAGTCAAATAAAATCAGACGTCGTTCTAAATAGCAAGGGAGAGAGGAACTTGCCCATGTCAAAAGAGATCGATAGTAGTTGCGGTACTTTTGTACCCCTACTAATACCGAGATTCCCAGGAGGGAGGCAGATCAAGTTGGCTACATTCTGATGGCTGACATCAACGCCCTTTGGTTTGCCTGTGGTTCCTTTTCAAAGGTTAGAAAATTCGCCTCTTCAGAAGCTACGAGCATTACCTGACGTGTAAATGATATATAGTCCATCGGATGAATCAAGACTCACGGCTGGCCTTTCTGTGGAGATGGGGCAGCGCTTCTCTTCTCTAGGAGCATCTAATACGACGATCGTTGTGGTAGAGCCAGCACAGTGCTGGACTTTGTGATGGAATTTCGCAAGACAGAGCACAAACTGTGCTTGTGTGTCTTCAAAGATGTGGGACATGACATTGTCGGGCACTACTCCGCCATCTAGAGGAACGTATTGACAGCCGCATTTTATTACGGCAAGAATTGCAACTACCATATCAATAGAACGCTGAAGAACGAGGCAAACGCGCTGCCGTGGCTCAAGGCCACTTTGGATGAGGTTGTTAGCCAAGACATTGGATAACCTTTCGAGTTCATGATAAGTAACAGTGTTGCCATCATGTTCAGCAGCAACTAGAGACGGCCGGGTGTCAACGACATCCTCGAATGCTTGGTGAACCAAAGAGAATCTAGGTTCAACACGAAGTCCGTGACCAAAATGATGGAAAAGATCTCGATCGGCAGGACATAAAGAATCCAACTCGTGAAACATGCTTGCTACGCTCAAAGGGACTTGCTTGTTGGCGTGAAATGGAAGGATTTAAAACTGCGGAAGCCACTTTTATCTCGTGTTTGATCTTTGAGTAACGTTAGACTAAAGAGTATACACAAATCCCCAAACACTTTCCTTCTGCGGCTGTCAAAGACACTCTAAACTGCTTCCAAATGCTTTAGTAAGGAATATTATGTGCAACCTCGTGAATCCCATCATGCCTCTGTACGGGGGATACCTCTGTATGTTGATGGGACCATATTCGACATTGGCCCCAAATACTAAGCTTGTTTAGAAAGTCTGACTTGCATCCCATCTGCGTAAATGTACATTATTCTGATTGGTGATCGTTACGTTACCACCGTTTAAATCTACGATCCATCGTTCGCGGCTTCGGGCCGTTAGTTGATCGTCGTGGTTGCAACCAATTGAGAGCAGATCCACCAAAAAGCGACATTAATGATTCCCCGTTGAAGCCACGCTGCAAATATATTGGCACTTAAAACCATGCTTTATACGACGTAGCATCGTGCCCACACAAGCAAGACCAACCGACTCCAAATTGAACCTTTTGCTTCCTGGGGAAATTGGAGCCGGTCCAGCATGAAATGACAGATATGGACCGAATAAGACACGAGAACTGGGACTGGTAGGCGCAAGCATGTGCCAACAAGTCTTCCGTTTAATACCTCTTCTCAGTATGGAAAACCAGTTTTGCTGATGATATACCCATAGTATAGGATGGCTGCCATTAAGAGACCTAACATAACGTCTGGTGATTATGAACTACAGCTTCCCCTCACACCCAAGCCTCGATCCCAGTCATATAAGCTAGGGAGAGTTTCCTCCGTAAATTTATTCCTGAAGGATTCCCACCCCATACTTCTGATCGGCAGTCTGATAAACCTATCCGTCAAATGTTGAGCGGATCATGATCCTATCCGTGACAACTATAGATTAAATCCGGATATGATCCGCCGAACACTGTCCGAATTTTAGACTCCGTAATAGCGCAGATCTGGTTGGGATTTTCTCAGGGTCTTACCTGAGAATGTTTTTCCGAGCTTGCGGTGTTAGGTAGAGTAGGTCCGTGTTTGTCCGTGTGTGGATTGGGGGAGGCAGTGACACGTTCTGGTGGGGGATGCGGGGAGTGGGGCGAACAGATGGCGTTTGGAAGATTCGAGCACTATAGGATATGAGTCGACGGACGGGGTTTGGGGGGGGGGGTGGAGATATGGAAACGGTGAGATGCTATACACCCACCCTCTTCTAGATAACCAATACGGGAAAGACACGAGCTTCACAGCGATGAAAAGGGGGGAGGGAGACAGAATTAGTCAGAACGATTTCATATTCCCTATCCATCCATACCCATATAACCCATAATAATCCGTACAATAATAATCTGTCTGCCCCCCCTTCCTCACAGAGCCATAAAGCCCATTCAACCCATAAGCTACGAAAGCAGATGCCACACCCCCCATCCCATCCTCCCCCAGACGACCAACCACAGCTAATATCAGGTATATAATCCATCCCCTCCCCTCCATCCTCTAGATTACCTCAGCATCCAAAATAGCAATAAAACAACTACGCAAGAGCAGCACAGAACAACATTCAACAACAACAGCAAAAATCGATCAAAACAGCAACAGCAAATAACACCAACAAAATAGCCACAGGAAAATAGAACGAGAAAGACCCCCACCCTTAGCCGTCCCCGCCCACCCCATAACGTTCCATATTCCCGTTTCGAAAGGGTTAAAACCAAACACGCACCCCTGCCTTCCCCGCTAGAATTCGACAGTAAAAACGCCATAGATGACATGCACGCACGCCCTGCCACCCTTCACCCCTCCCCGCTCACCGCGTCCTCGTCTCGAATAAAAATGCCCCTCCTCCCCCATAACTAGTAGCAGCCTCGTTCCGTTCGCTCGTAATAATCGCTCGATAAAGACTTAACCTCCGCCCCTCCAAACAAAGGGAGGTTCAGTTTCCAGTTTCTTCAACTACCATGCGCGCGCATCAACAACTACAACAAGCAACCCCAAGAGATTAGCCAACCTTCCTCTTCTTCGCAGCCGACGCAGCCTCCGACGGAGCCGCAGCATCCGTCTCCCGGCGGCGGCGATCCGTGGCTGCTGCGGCGGCGGCGGGGCGGACGGCAACGCTACTCACCCTCGCTAGCGGATCATCCTGTTCCTTGGTGGGACTCCCCGCCTCCCCCTTCCCCGGTCCCGGGCTCGGACTCGCGCCCTGCGGGCGCGCCGTCTTGCTGCCGTTTTCGTCGGGAATATTCCCCTTCCCCCCCGACTTGAGCTCCGCCCTCTTCTTCGCCGCCGGACTGAGCGGGCTCAATGGCTGCGGCGCCTTCACTGGCGGTCCGATCTTGGTAGGTCTCTCTTCCTTCGTCGACTGGCGGGGTTCGCGGCCCTTTTCGAGGAGCTGCCCGCCGAGAGTGGCGCATTTGAGGATCGTTTGGATGAGGTGGTTTTGCTTGAGTGGTTTGGAGAGGTATTCGTCCATCTGGGCTTGGATGCACTTCTCCCGGTCGCCGAGCATGGCGTGAGCGGTTAGGGCGATGATGGGGGTGCGTGTCGTGCCGATGTTGTATTCGTATTCGCGGATCTTGGCGGTGGCTTCGAAGCCGCCCTGGGGAGAAGGTTAGGGTTAGTTTTTCGTGGTGGGCTGGGGGGGGGGGCTGTAATTTTCTGGGGGTGGGGGGGATGAAAAAGGGGCTAGGGGACATACCATAATAGGCATCTGCACATCCATAAGGATGCAATCGTATCTCTTCAGCTTGATCGCCTCGAGCGCCTCCAGTCCATTACCCACCACCGTCACGACGTGATGGTACTTCTCGAGGATCTTGACCGCCAACCTCTGGTTGACAACATTGTCTTCCGCCAGCAGAATATCGAAGCTCTTCGTGTTATCCGCCAGCGATGGCATCGCGCGGTTCTCCAGCGCGGGAATCATACCATTACCCAAGTCGATGGTCTGGCATGGCGTCGTCATGTACGACGTGATACCCAGATCCAAAGACGACTTGAGACTAACATGCACGACCGGCGCCAGTAGCACAATAGGGATGTACTTGAACTCGTCGATAGAGCGCAGCCTTCGACCCGTCTCGATGGAGTCGACGATGACGACGTCGTAGTTGGAGGGGTGGTTGGCCGGGCGGCCCGCCTGCATGAGGTCGGTGTGGCTATCCGACTCCACAACCACAGGCTCGAGACCAATCTGCGACAGCATGGAGATTATCTCCTTGCCGTGGCCCGTCTCGCCCTTGTCGATGAACAGCACCTGGTGGCCCTGATACGGCTTGAGCGCCTTCTCGATGAAGCTGATGTCCGACGTTGCGAGGCGCACCGTGCACGTGAAGAAGAAGGAACTGCCCTTGCCGTACGTGCTCTTGACCCACACGTCACCACGCATCAGGTTAACGAGGCGCTTCGAGATCGAAAGTCCCAGACCTGTGCCACCGAACTTGCGCGTCATCGATCCATCGGCCTGCTGGAACGTGTCGAAGATCAGGTCCAGCTTGTCGGCCTGGATACCGATACCCGTGTCCGACACAGAGAACTCGATGGCGTACTCGTTGTGCTCGCAGTTATCCTGGTCCGCCTTGCGGATCGTCAGGCTGACCTCGCCGTTCTCGGTGAACTTGATAGCGTTCCCGACCAAGTTCAGGATGACCTGGCGCAGACGGAACGAGTCTCCGACGACGTGATCAGGTACCGAGCTGTCGACGCGGTACGTTAGGTCGAGGAACTTCTCGTTGGCCTTGACGGCGAGCGTCTTGAGAGCGTTGAACACGATGCTTCGCACCGAGTACGGGATCTCCTCCATCACCATCCGGTTCGCCTCGATCTTCGACAGATCAAGGATGTCATCAATAATTGTGAGCAAACTATTGGCAAGGTTGTGCACAATATTCAGCATCTCACGCTGGTACTGCGTGAGGTCCGTATCGAGCGTCAGCTGCGTCATACCGATGATACCGTTCATGGGCGTTCGGATCTCGTGGGACATGTTGGCAAGGAACTCGGACTTGGTCCTGTTGGCCATCTCGGCAGCCTCCCTGGCAGCCGTGTTCCTCTGAATCGATTCCCTCAGGTTGAACACCATCTGGTTGATCTTGCGCTTCAGCTCGTCCATCTCACCCGACGCCTCGACCGTGATCAACTTTGTGAAGTCGCCATCTGTCGCCGCGTTCGTGATGTCGCCAAAGGCTCTCACCTGCGCCGTCAAGTTCATGGCCATGGTGTTGACATCCGTCGTGATCTCCTTCCACCTGCCGCCAATGCCCGCCACATCTGCCTGTCCGCCCATCTTTCCGTCAACGCCAACATCCTTCGCCACGCGCTGGATCTCGTTACTGAAGATCGACAGACGGTCAACCATGTTATTTATCGTCTCACGGAGCACCAAGATCTCTCCAGCGGCCTCGACCTCAATCTTCTGGCTCATGTCGCCATTCGCGATGGCCTGCGTGACGGTCGATATACCTCTCACCTGCGACGTTAAATTCGAGGCCATGGTGTTGACGTTCTCGGTGAGGTCCTTCCACTTGCCCTCCACGTTCTCGACCTTGGCCTGGCCGCCCAGCGTACCATCCGTGCCGACCTCTCGCGCCACCTTGCTCACCTCGAAGGCGAATATACTCAGCTTGTCCACCATGGTATTTATAGTAATCTTCAGATCTAGAATCTCTCCCCTGACCTCAACGGTGATCTTCTTTGTTAGGTCGCCCTTGGCGACGGCAGTCGTGACCTTTGCAATCTCTCTCACCTGCGTCGTCAGGTTCATGGCCATTCCGTTCACGTTTTCGGTGAGGTCCCTCCATGTGCCCTCGACATCATGCACGGTAGCCTGCCCACCAAGCCTACCCTCCGTTCCGACCTCTCTCGCAATCTTCGTGACTTCCCGCGCAAACTGCTGTAGCTGATCCACCATGGAGTTTATAGTAGACTTGAGCTCGAAAATCTCACCCTTACACTCGGCCTGGACCTTCTGCGTGAGATCACCCTTGGCGACTGCCGTCGTAACCATTGCTATGTCGCGCACCTGCGTCGTGAGATTGTTCGCCATGGCGTTCACATTAACCGTCAGCGTATTCCACATGCCCTTGACGCCCTCGATCTCTGCCTGCCCGCCGAGGATACCCTCTGTGCCGACATCGCGTGCGACGCGAGTAACTTCTGCTGCGAACGTCCTGAGTTGGTCCACCATGGTATTGATAGTCTGTTGTAACTGTAAGATCTCTCCCTGCGCGGGCCTCTCAATCTTCTGTGTGAGATCTCCATGCGCGACAGCCGTCGTGACCGCGGCAATCTCACGCACTTGATCCGTAAGATTCTGTGCCATAACATTGACATTCTTCGTCAGCTCCTTCCACGTCCCGTCCACGCCGCTGATCTGTGCCTGTCCACCGAGCATACCCTCCGTTCCGACCTCCCTCGCCACACGGGACACCTCGCTGGAGAAGACCTGCAGCTGGTCCATCATAGTATTGATTGTGCGCTTGAACGTCGTGATTTCAGGGTCCATCTCCACCGAGTGAATCTGCACCTTCTTGCTCAGGTCACCCCTCGCGACAGCCGTGACAATCTCTCCAATCTCCCGCAGCGCCTTCTGGAAGGCCTCGTTGGCCTGCTGATGTTTCTTGAGCTCCCGCTCGAGGGCATTGACGCGCTCGACCTCGACGGCCTTGAGCGCCTTCTCCTGCAGCTGCTTCTGCCTCAGCAGCTGTGCGTTGACGCTCGCGAGCTCGAGCTTCTGGCTCTCGAGCTGCCCAGACTGGTGGTCGACGTGCTCGCGCAGCGCCTCCAGCTGCTCGCTGCTCAGCTTGGTGTAGGTGACGGTACTCTGACCCGCGGGGCTCTCCCGCGACGCCAGCAGCGTCGACACGATCTTCTCACGCGCTGCGCTCGTCGAGGCCGTCGGGATAATGTCATTGGCGGGGGAGGAGTCGATGCTATCATTCGGGGTGTCGGGCAGGTGGTCCTTGGACGCCGCGACGTTGGACTCCAGCAAGCGCACCCGCTTGGCGAGCGATGTCAGCTCGCGCTCCAGGGCGTGCTTGGCCGTCGTCGACGAGCCGGGCAGGTGGATCTCTTCAATGCCATTAGTGTCTGCATCTTTACGGGATGCTTTCAAGGCTGAAAGTCCTGTGGACGAAGTCGCCAGGCTTTGGATGTAGGCGGTCGCAGCAGCAAGTGCCGCATCGTCGGTCATGGTGTCCGAACGATGGATGACCTGCCACAAAGGCTAGGCGATGATGCAAAATTTGCAGTGATGTGGTTGTCTGTCGGGGGCGGGGGATGTTTCGTTGTTTTCGCGATGGTACTTTTCGGCGAGTCGTCGTCTTTCCGACCTTTGCCGCTCTGTTCGTAGGAGATCGATGGTCCAAGTCTTTCTACCCTGCACCTCGAATGTCAGTACCCGTGTCCGGCTCACTCGCCTCACGGAAGCAGGGGCCCCTACGGTCTCTCTCGGTGTCTCTCTCTCTTCGAGTTGTGGTATCGTCAAGTTCGATCGAGCCTAAGCCCAGTCGATGGGGGTAGATGGCAAGAGGCGAAGAAAGCAGCCGGTTCGTCGTCTCTGTGTCGGTCGGTCGTCTTCTTCTTCGTCTTCTTCGTGGGTCGTCGTCGTGGAAACCTGGTGTTCAGGCGTGCGCACCGGTTGTGGCAGGGTGGATTGTACAGAGGGAACGCGAGGCTGCCGGGGGGAGGAAATGCCCTTTTCCGAATCGGTGGGGGGGATGGGCGGCAGACCAGGCCTCTTTGGCGAAGGCAGGAGTGGGAATTGAAGGAACAAGTAGTCCCCAGGCCAAGGCAGGGCAACACAACGGGAACACAGCACAGCACAGCACAGGACAGCACAGCACAGCACAGAGACGGGATCCTCTGAGGCTGGCGTAGAGGCAGTGTTGTGAATATCCTCAAGTCTACTCGATCAGCTTGAAGGGTCGTCTCTGTTCGCGATGGCGCCAATGCTGTGGTGCCATGTACATACAGCGAGTGTAGAGTCAAAAAGGACCGCGTACAGTGAATTAGGGTAGACCCAGAAGGCTAACAGTGCGCTAAACCGGAGTAAAAAGTACAGTATCATCAACCACTACGGAAGGCCAAAGTACGGTAGGGCGGTAGGGTGGAGTGGGGGGGGGGCAAGGGGCAAGGTTTTTCTTTGGGGGGCCGTTTTCTTTGGGGGGCCGTTTTCTTTGGGGGATGGGGTGCACTGTCGCAACCCGAAAAACCCTCACCATCTCACCACCAGCTCCCTCTCACCAAACCACCAAACCACCAAACCACCAAACCACCAAAACCCAGGGGGTCCATCACCACCCGCCATGGCCCGCACGCACTAGTATCTCCCCATCCAACCCTCCACCTCCATGACGTCAATTCCCCACACCACCAGAGCCTGCCTAAGCCCTTTCAAGCCTGCCTAAGCCCTTTCAGGCCTAAACCCACCCCAGCCATGCTAGGACAAGATGGGGCTTAGCCTTGCCTAATGAGGGTTGGTGCGTTGGTGCGTTGGAGGGAAGGGGTCCAGGGGTCCAGGGGGAAGAGGTGGTGGGTGTGTGGAGGAGGGAGGGTACTGGGGACGGTAGGGTAGGGACAGGCCGTTGGTGTTGGTGTGGGGATGGCTATAGATATATAGACCGCGTTATTGATGATAGATTCCACTCATCCATTCATTCATTCGCTACCTAATTGTAACCTCAGTCGCTGGCTCGCTGCCTGCAATCGACACATAAAACACTCCGCTTCACACACGTTGGCTAAAACTTATCATCCACCCATCAGGAAACACAAAAGACAATGGTATCGCCACAACGCCTCCATCCAACCCGCATGCAATGAAACCCCCCCCCCGGGGAACCCATCCCTCCAACCCAACAAACGCCCCTCCCCTTTCCCCTATCACTCCCTACCTCCTCGGCAAATTATTCCCCCCAAACCTCCCTCCCCCCCCAAACTCTGTCTCACAATCGACTCCGCCGCCGCCGCCGCCGCCAGCCTCTCGCGCTGGCGACTCCTATCCCTCAAATACGCCACCGCCACGCCCTCATGTCTCATCCGCAGAATCCTCAGGATAACATCATCACTCGGATCCGCCTGGGCCTCTCTCCTCTTCTCCTCCTTCGCCTGCCTCATCGTGCCTAGATTCCTAGAGAGCATAATACTCTTCCCCCTCCGCAAACTGGTCGCGCTCCCCAAACCAGCGCCTAGAGACGGTCCCAAACTCCCCGGCGGCAAAGAGAGGGATGTGCGTTGCGCCAGCGCCCTCGCAGCAGTAGCAGACGCCATCCGCTCCGACGTCTTAATAAGCGAGTCCGTGGGATCAAAGTAGAAAAACGCCAACTGCTTCAGCTCATGATACTTCGCATTCTTCAGCACATCATCCCGGACCCCCATCGCCTCCCCCGTCTCCTCATCCCTGGCATTAAAAAACGCCCTCAGCAGCTCCAACCACAAGAACACCGTATCCGCCTCCTGCCTACTCAGCGCCTTCTGCGGACTCGGCCTATCGCTCAAGGGCGGGATGAGCAGCGCCTCGATGGCGAGGAGGACTTCCTTCCACAGCCGCGTCATGACGGCGATCATGGAGGCGGTGGTGAGCGTCTGCTGCATGATGGCGAAGTTGTCGTCGAAGTAGGTGAAGAGTGGTTTTAGGGCGTTTTCGATGTCGAGGGGGAGGGGTGGGGGGGGAGGGAATGGCGGGTTTTCCACATGCTGGTTAGGGAGATGCCGCGGGAGAGGAGGCTGCGAAGGGCGTCGGGCGAGAGGGAGAGGTTGATGTAGGTTGAGAGCTGTGGGTGGGGGTTAGCGGGGGGTCTCTGGATGGGTTTTGGGGGGGGGGAGGGCTTACCTTATCCGTGATCTTCCGAATCATGTCGCGCTCGGTGCGCTTGAGTAGCCGGAAGGCCTTGCCAAAGTAGAACTGGATGTCGTCGCGCTCACCCTCCATACTGATGCGGAGAAGTAGTTTCCCCTGCGTATCGAGGTTGAGCCAGCACTCCTTAGGGAGGTAGTCCGAGAAATGTGACGGGTCGAGCTTGAGCGACGTCCGACCCATCAGGTCGTCATCGCCGAAGGTGTCAAAGTCCCAGATCGTAGCGACGATGTTGACGGGGCCGGACACGATGATGTCGATTGACTCGTCCCAGCGGGGATTCAGGTTCTTAGGCACGACCCGCGTCTTCATCAGGCGCTTCTTGAACTCATCGCCGAGGATGACGTACGGGTCGCTGAGGCCGTTGGTGTCGCAAGCCTTGAGGTCCTCGCCCTCCACAATCTTGACGGTGAAGACGTATTTATTCGGCCTGCGCATCTGCTGCTGCTCCTTGGGTGTGATATTTCGCTGCAGCACCTCGGCGCACGCGTCGACATTCATTATCCTCTCGAGCTTGTCAAGCTGCTGCACCGCGAACTCGATGTTGTTCAGCTTTACCAGCGACTGCGGGTTGAACTGGAACGGCTCCATCTTCTCCTTGTTGTTCCACGCATCCTTGGCGAGCTGCATCCACCGGTCCTGCTTCGACTGTTTCGCCGTCGCCTCCTGCTCGGGAGTCAGCCGGTTCATCTCCTTGGTGAACCGCTCTTCGAGCGCCTCACAGTACCGCGCCAGGCCCACCCCGAACGACTTCGACAGCGCCGTCATGAACTTGGCGTGATGCACATCGTCGTCCCAGTTGAGCTGGAAGATCTGGTCCGTCGTCTCGTTGAACAGCCGGAACACGTCGATGGCCGACACGCTGTGTCGCTCGTTATCGGTCGGGTTCTCCGAGCGCACCTCGAACTTGTCGTGCAGGATCGCCTGATCGACTAGATCCACCATCTTAACGTCCGCCACGTTGATCCAGCGCCACACAAAGTCTGCCAGCGCGTCCTCGATGTGAAACGCGAACGGTACGTCTGGCAGCGCCTGCTGGTGGATGCGCCGGATCTCCACGAGCTCCTTATACAGCGCGAAGCCGTCCTCTAGGTCGACCTCGGAGTTATTGGCGTGCGCCACGTTCAGGATCCGCTGGATCAGGTCCGCTGCGTCGTTCTCGAAGCTCGGGAACACCGTCTCCACCAGCACCGTCAGCGGGTTGACGCCCATGAACTCCGGGTTCTTCTTGTATCGCTTCTGGATCCGAGTGCACAGCTTCACCACCGACTTGCCTAGCTGCACGACGTGGTAGAACTGCCATTCCTCCTGGTTCTGAGGCACCTCGGCCTCGAGGTATCCTCGGTAAACCGCTGCTGCCTGCTCTCTCAACCCCCTATCCAGCTGCTCGCTATAACCCTGCACCTGCTCCGGGCTCTGCTGGAAGCACTCGTCGTTATAAATATGGCTCTCCAGAATCACCATCACCGGCCCCACCGACGGCGGCTTCGAGTCATAGCAGTGTTGTAGAACATCATACAAATCCCGCAATAGCGAATCGTGGACACTGACAAGCGTATGTCGATACAGCGCAAGGTCATTGATAGTCCAGTGCGAGCGGTCGATGGACTGCAGTCCACCCGCATGTGCGAGCGTGCTAGACTTCTTGGTCTCTGCGGGTGGGTTCTTAATCATCTCAAACGCCGCATCGAGCTCCTCAAGCCCGATTTCCCGGTCCTTGAAGCGCTGCACAGAGACGTCGAGGTAGAGGATCAGCCGAGAGAACTGCGGGACGCGCCATCTAATCGCGAGCTCGGTGAGGAGTTCGAGGGATTGCATGCTAAGCGGAGGTGCGGGGGCGCCGCTCTCTGCATTGTGTTCTGTATGTAGTTGATCGTATGTAGCAGCGTGCATGAGTATGGATCTGTAGTATGCCCGTGGGTCCGGAGGGATATACACGAAGCTGACTTCTTCGAGATACAGCCGGCTAGACGGTTCATCGCTCAATGACAAGCCGCCCATATCTCCAGGCTGCGTCTGGCTAAATGATGATCGTGACGTGCGCTCTGTCGGGCTCGAAATCGTATTATAATAACCGGCATCTGGTTGCATGGGTATAATAGTAGGCAGTGGTTTGTTGAGCCCAGTCGTCGGTAGAGCGCCAGGCTTAGTACTCGCCGAGGATGATTTGGCCAATTCGGGCTTGACGTGTAATATACCCAGCATCATCTGTGACAGGTCATGACTCTCCGCCTTCTTCCACGCCTGATACCCCTCGTCAACAACAAAGTCATTAGAGGAGAGGGCGCGCGCCGACTGCGAGTTGATGCACTGCTGGTACGATTTCAGCTCCGTCAGGGCTACCTCCTCCGTCCAGAACTTCTTATTCGCATCGATATCAGACTGCACCTGCGAGTTCCGCATCCCAAATATGCGTCCCACAACCTGCACCATCGGCATATCCTTCACATCGTAGCTGATCGGGTTAACAACCTCAATATACGAATCGCTAGGCCCCGCACCAGACGACAAGTCTTGGTCGTCCGTCAGAAGCTTCTTCTCAAGCGTCGCCAGCCGACTCATCAGCTCTGGCCTATCCTTATCATACCCATGATCCTTCATCGTATTGCTCAACAACCTCAGAAACAACGCCACATGTCGATCCAGCAGATTTTTCCACGAGTCATCCCCCGGCGACTTCCCCTTCTGCAGCGACTTAACCGCATTCGAGTAGAAAATCAGCACCAAATCCTCCACGCGCCTCTCCTGCTCCATGCGCCTCCTAAACGTCGCCTCCGTGAACGCCGTATACGCCTCCGCAAAGCTCCTCTTGACCGCCGGATCATTATACCCCGGCAACCGCTCCTTCATCATCAGCACGCCCGTCATCCGCTTCTCCAGCGGCCCCATAAAGCCATGCGGCAGCTTGGCGCTCTTCGCCGAGCCAACCCCAGACGAGAAGTCCTTGACCAGATCCCCAATCGTCGACGCCCGGTGGCTGATCGCCTTCGGCGCCGCCGCCAGGTACTGCTTCCGCTTGGCGCGCGGCTGCAGCAGGTGATGCAGGAAGGCCGCGCGCAGCGCATACGTGTAGCTCTCGTTGTACGTCACCACCTTTGGCATGAAGCGCGAGACGGTGCGCGAGAGGCGGTCGGACAGTGAGCCATTCATGTTGCGCGGCAGCCGGCGCGCCGTGGAGCCCCGCGCCGAGCGCGACGAGGACGTCGACATCGCGGCAATGGGAGGAAGGGGGGGGCTCTGTGGTGTGTCGTCCGCCGATGGATGGTGGGGGGTGGGCGCGGGGAAGGTTGGGCGTCTGTTTGTTGCTGGTGCCTGCTGTTTACCGGTCGGGGATGTTGAAGAAGGAAATATACGTTTGAGGCAAGGCACGCGCGTCGCGAGCAGAGCTGTGCTGGGTGGTTTTTCTGTGCCCGTTTGGGAGGTTCCTCGTCTTTGCTACGTTTGCGTCAGGTCCAGCCTCGTAGCGGCGGCTGGGGGTAGGTTTGGCGGGTATATGGTGGTTGCGAAGGTGAGCAGGGCCAGGGGTCAGATTGGGTTTAGCGAGGCTGCGGCTGCTCCTGTTCTGTTATGAAACTTCTCTCAAACAAAACGTCAGAGGGGCAAATGTGCGATAATGCGATAATGGTAATAATAGCAACAATGGAGGTACAGTCAACCCCAGTTATAACGATCCTGGATACAACGATATTTTTGATATAGCGATATATTTTTCGGAACCAATTCTATTTCCACACAACTTACGATACTACGATAATCGTTACAGTTCCACCCTATTATTGTTATATCCAGTCTGACGTATTCTTAGGATCATGAGCCAGAGGCACAGTATTAAATTAGAACAAAGGCGCGCCCTTCGTCGCTAGGCACATCGACAGCACCTAAAGCCTACACAGAAGCAATGCATCGAATGGTTCCTCTACGAATACAATCACAAACGTAGCCAGTCAACTGTTTCCGAATCCTTAAGTCTACGCTTCTCCCACCTCGACGAGATAATACACCACAAGGCATGCGACTTCGAGAAGGCTTCTAGCCTGACTTAGAGAAGGTTCTGTTTACATGGCAGCAGCGTATTAAAGCAAGAGGGGGATTTACAACTAGAGAGCTTCTGCAAACAAAGGCAAGAGATATATAGCGCTAGTTTCTACAACACTCTAGCAAGCCAGTCCTAGAGTTCAGCATTAGATGGCTTGAGGGATTTAAGAAGCGCTTTAAGATATCATTAAAAGTTCGACACGGAGAAGCCTTATCTATCCTAGCTTCTATAGAAGAGGAAGTGAGAGCCTTACAAACTATGGCAGGGGAATATCAAGAGGAGGATATCTATAGCATAGACGAGAGTGGCCTTTATTAGAGGATGATGCTCTCTCGAGGCCTCTCATCACAACATCAAGCTGGTTTAAAGAAAGACAAGTCTTGGGTCTCTCTTGTCTTTTGTGTTAATGCAACTAGACAGATCAATTTCTAGTCTAGTTCATTAGCAAAGCTAAAACACCACGCGCTTTGCAATTTGTATTAGTTCATATAATAGGACGGTAATGGCAGTGGAATAAGAAAGCTTAGATGAATATAATGATTATGACAGAGTGGCTTTAAGCTTTTTATTAGCATATTAGCACAACATGACAAGTTCTTTTTATAATGGACAACTTCTCTGCCTATTATACCACAATTAAGCTTTGTCCTCCTCTATTAAATATTTGAATATGTTAGCTACCTGCTAATAGTACAAGTCACTACTAGCCTCTTGATCAAGGGATTATTCAGAATTGCAAAGCTTACTACTAGCAACATTGGCTATAATATATCTTACAATCCTTCGACTTAAATGTAGATCCTCTATCGTTAATGAATGTACACCTTGCAATCCATTAGATCTTACGAAGCTAGAATAACAAAATTACAAATAGTACAATCTACAATTGCTTTCGCAATCAACACTTGTCTCTTCGCCTATTTCACTTCCTACTCTAATTATGCCTCATGAAGTTACATAGCTATATCAAAAGGTTATAGAAGCAGGAAATATACAAGACGCTATGTTAGTTGCAAATTTTCTTAACCCTGTTGACGAAGATGGATGATGGAGAGGATGAGCAGAATGTAGGAGAAGATGAGGTTTTACAAGAAGTGCTACAAGTGTTACGATTATAGCTTACAGGTTGTTATGGTTGTTATGGTTGTTATAGTTATTACAGTTGTTACGATTTTGTTACAGGTGCAGCCTTAGCCACCAAGGCTACAACCGCTAAGCGGACAACTGTATATTACGAGGAATAGCCTCACCTTCCTTCCTTCTTCCTCTTCTTCTCTCTTTAGATTCAATCTAGCTTATTATTCTCCAGACTGGCTTCTTGACCTCCGTGACCATCATAACAACAAGAGCATTTAGGTTTACCAACTACTTAAAGTGATGAAGAAGACGATGATCAGTTTCTACAGCCTATGTACTTAATGGCTGATGCTAAACAAGCTCTTCATATATTGATTGGATTTGCTAAAAGCCAAGAATCTCTTTCTTCTGATTATTTACAGACACTAGAGCAGTTGGAATCAGCAGTTAAGGGCATTTAGCAGGCATCATTAGTTCAGGGGACATTAGATACATAGATTACATAATATATTCTATTTTGGTTATAGCGATATACTAGTTATAATGATAGTGAAATGGTAGACAGTGTAAGGACACAGGGCACCCAGCTCACAGTAATAGCATATGAGAGTGCAAGTCAGAGGCTAAACAGATGCTATCCTATAGGTCTACTACGAAGGATACAAAAAAGAGAATGAGGAACCCCGTTGGGTCAATCCCCTTAAGTACCTGAAACGGGTCCGACTCAGCTAACCTGCCCTAACTCTCCCCACATGACCGTAACCTGTCCGACTCTGATCCCTTCCGTCACTGAGGGCGGAGGCATCCTTACACTACCCCCCCTCTTAAGAGAGTGTTTTGTCTGCGAAACACGCTGTGAGAATCATTTCCGCAACATCTCTGAATGGTATCTGTGAGAAGAGCGTTCTATGTTGGCAGGAATTCTGTTTGTAATTGCATCTGTAACAACCCTGTTTATGTGCCGTGTCGGGAAGGTGCGTTGTATGTCATGCTAGAGTTGTGCCGTATCGACTCCGTTTAGTGTGCGAAACCAGAGTTTGCTTTGTTCACTCTGGGGTACATTCCTGATGGTCCGAGTGGACTCCGAATCGCATCTGCGAAGCGTTCGGGTTGAACTGTCCTACGTATAAAAGGAGAAGTGGCCACGCTAACCTGATTCGGAGTTCATTGTTGTAAGCCAGACTATGAGTACGCAGCCGCATCCACTTCTTCTTGTTGTCTCCAACAACAACGCCAGCGACCACCCCTCTGAGGATGGTAAGTGACCCCTTCTTGTGGATTGTTTGACGGTGTACTAATAAATTGGATAGATATTTCCAATCCACATGAACGAGTAGGTGATGGGAACGTGTTGGTGCATGGGTGACAACGTGTGCTGGGTGACGGGATTCGCAGAATTCCAACTTTAACAATGCCGGTTCCGACACCCTCTGGGGCCCTTTCGGCTGCGTTCCGAGTGCTCTGTCTGCGCTGCCTTCAGGCAAAAGCCTGTGGGATCCAATCTCACGATTGCGTCTGGTCCGCGGCCAGCTCCAAGTGCCGGTACTGCACCGCGCAGCACTCGGCTTGCATCCCGGTAGGTTTTCTTGTGGGATTCGGTGTTGGGGTTGGTTGGCTGGTGCTGATCTTGGTGGGAATAGCTGCCCTGGTTCCTTGGGGGAGAGTTTGCGGCCCTCCACGCTGCCAAAGAGGCCACCCCCCTATTCCCGCTGATGTCGCCGCCGCCGCCACTGAGGCAAATCGGGTGACCCTCCTGGCCACCCAGAGCATCCCAAAGTTTCGCTCCGAGGCAGAGCGTGGCCTCTACAAGGAGGCACGCACCACTCGGGCTGCCCTCGAGTTGGGGCTTGCCGTGAGTAGACCCCCTTTCCCTTGTGTTGTTTCGGTGCTGACTCTGGGCAGCAAATTCGGTCGTCGCTGCGCCGTCTGCGGATGGAACAGGAGAGCATCCCGGCTCTCCTGGGGGAGTTGGTGGCTGCTGTGGGCAAACTGCCCACCGCTGCCGCTCATGCGGTCGCCACGACTCGGGGTGATGGGAGGAAGGAGGGGGAGGAGGATAGAGAAGTTGGGGCGGCCTACGGGGCCTAGGTGGAGGAAGACCCTGTGTCGGAGGGGACTCGGTCCTGGCCCTTCGCATGGGGTCACTTCGATCCTTCGTCTCTCATGGTGGTAGCCGCTTGTTGTGACACCGGTGAGACGTTTGGGAAGGGTGACTCCCGCAAGGGTTATGGTGGTGAGTGCGCCCTGGCTCAGAGGGTATTTAGTTTAGAGTCGTAGATAGCAACGACTCTATTTCTTCCACTTTGTCTTCCCTAGCGTGATCGTAGTTTTGTCCTCGCCCGCCTCCCATGCTGTTACCCATCCGAGTAGTTCTTGAGGTGGTCCTGGTAAATCTGGGTATTCCATGTGAAACTCTCTGAGTTTATGGGGAGAGTTCATGAAGTTTGATGCTGGGTACCACTCCGGGTCCGGATCGTATCCTACCCAACTAACCCGGTATTGTAGTTGCTTCCGTCAGAGCCTCATGGTGAGGATCTTTTCCACTTCCCATTCCTCTACGCCATCTATCACTTCGCTGCTAGGCTCAGGCGGATCCTGACCAGGTAGGGGGTTATTCGGATCCTTCATGAGGACGTCTGGTGAGAACACATCGTGTATTTGAGAACTGGTAGGTAGTTCCAATCGAAACGCGTGCCCAATCCGTTCCAACACCATATATGGTCCAACCCATTGTTGGCCCAACTTGCAGCTAGGGCGAGAGTTCTTCAAATTTTTGGTCGATAGGTACACTCTATCTCCTACATCCCAGTCGATGGCCCTTCGGCATCGATTTGCATGCTTAGACATTTCTTCTTGTGCCTTTGACATGTTTTCCTTTGCATGGACCCATACGGAATGCATTCAGTCTGCAACCGCCTTGGCTTCATCTCGGTTTGGTGCTTTTCGAGGTTTTCCAATCCCAACTCGTACGCGGATCGGTTCCATACTTGAGTCGGTAGGAGGTCATGCCAATGGATGCATGGGGGAGTGTCATTTGCACGCGGTCCATTATGGGGATGAGTTCGCTCCAGTTATCCTGGTAATGGGATACGAAAGGCCTCAGTCTCTGATCGATGTATCGGTTCATGATTTCTGTCTTTCCATCGGTCTGCTTATGATAGGCAGTCGACAGCTTAACCTTAACACTGATATTTTGACAGAACTCCTGCCAAAAGGATGATACGAATTGGGGTCCGCAGTCGCTTACAATCGACTCCGGAGTGTGTCCGAATCGGTATATCCATTCGATGAACAATTGTGCCATTTGCCGGGCAGTTGTGGTTTTGTAGCAAGGTATGGTCACTGAACTCTTTCCGAGTCGGTCCATAAACACTAAGATGCTGTCATATCCATGCTTGTCCCTTGGGAACTCCTTGAAGTCCATGGTGAGGTGTTGCATAGGATATTCGGGTATGGGCAGCAGGTGTAGGAATCCTTGTTGCTTGGTGACATTGGTATGAGAAAGCCGACATGTCACACAATTCCTCACACAGTGCAAACAATCCGCCTCCATCCCGACCCAGTGGTACTTCAGGGCAATCAATTGATAGGTTTTCTGGCCGCTAGGATGTGCCACCAACACCTGGTCGTGCACTTCTCAGATTAGTTTCGTACATAGCTCAGTGTAATGGTTCACACATAGCCGGCCTTTGTATAGAAGAAGCCAGCCGTTCAACGCGAACCTGTCAGGTAGGGGGTGTTTCACATGTGTCTCTGTAAACGACTCTCTGTTGTCCTCACATAAAGCCTCTATTAAATCAAAAGGCATCTGGGGTGTAAGAACACAGGGCACCCAGCTCACAGTAATAGCATATGAGAGTGCGAGTCGGAGGCTAAACGGATGCTATCCTATAGGTCTACTACGAAGGATACAAAAAAGATGAAGGGGGAACCCCGTGAGTCAATTCCCTTAAGTACCCGAAACCCATCCGACTCGGTTAGCCCACCCCAATGATCACACGTGATCAGGGGGAACCTCGTGAGTCATTTCCCTCAAGTACCCGAAACCCATCTGACTCGGTTAGCCCGCCCAAATGATCACACGTGATCCGCAGCTACTCAGAGTCTGATCCTTAGAGTGAGAGACGAGAAGGCATCCTTACATGGGGCTTGGGGGTGTCCATCGAATTAATGGATGCTATGTAGCTCTCAGCGAGTTCGGTGCTGATTCGGGGGTGCAGGCGGCTTGGACCTAACAATACCCTCGCCCTACTATCAAGCTTGACTTTCTGCTGCATTACCAAGTCTTGGTCTCTTCGGCTCAGAATATCTGCCTTCTGGCTATTCTTGCCCGTGGTGTACGTAATGCAGAAGTTGAAGTTGGAGAGTAGTTCATCCACCAAACCTGCTTTGCGGTGAGAACCTTGGTAGACATGAAATATTCTAGCGAACGGTGGTCAGTGTAAACATCGACTTGGTGGCGCACCGAAGCTAA